CACCATTGGAAAACCACATTTATCCAGAATAACATTCATATAAAATATCTCATGTCCATCCGGTTTAAAGCCGAGATAGGCGGCTAGTAGATATTATCAATTACTTAACAAAAACAATATTATTATCTCAAGAAAAGACATAAATTATTTATTTATGACTTGTAAAGAGATCATAGAAAAAATAATGCCAAACCAATTACAATGAATTAAAAGTTAATACAACTCAATAACTTAGGTATTACTTCTGTACATAAACAACTTTATATACAATTTATCAATACAACAAAAATACATAACATGAGGTGTATAAAATTATCGTTTACTAGCATTTATCTCATAAACAAGTCGTTTGTATTTAACTTTACAATATTTACGATAATTGTAGGTCTCTATTGACATAAGGACGTTTATCTAGCATAAACAAACAGCATTTTTCAAACAAACTCATAGATGATTTTCTTTTTTTTTATGTGATAGGTTGGTTGGCAAACGAGCTAACGGATTACGTGATGGTAAGCAATCAGCGTCGCCCATGGATACCCGCAACGACGGAGGAGTTACGAGTGTGTTGTCGACCTATTCGGGATTAGAGATTTGGAGATTTTGGGAAAGGGAACGGATTGGGGTAGGGGAACGATTGGGGTTACGGTAGCCTCAATCACACGGCGAAACACAATTCTTTGGTTATTTCACGCCGGTTTTCTGGTGGTGCCGACCCATTCGTGCCGAGGCATGGCTCTCCCACACATAAACTTTTCTTTAAGTGAGCTAATGATACGTGGTTTTATGTTTCTATTATCATCGCCAGCCTATAGGTGTCCACGTCTGAGCAAATCCTCTTATCACACGGAGAAGATTTGAGCATCATTCCCACTACGTTTGCCCAAGGCGGTTTGGTGATTTGAAACTTATAATTTTACATTACAAGACTATAAACCGCTTTCTGAAAGGCTTGCCAGCGCTAAAATTAACTAATCTGCTGTTAAATCTCTTGTCAAGTCATCTGATTGGTTGTTAGTAATTCAGTCAACCAATCAGGTGACTTGACAAGAGATTAAATTGATTTTAACATTGATCGGCCTTTCGGAAACCGGGTGTGTGTTTCCTCACGATGTTTTCCTTCAACGTTTGTCAATGATGTTCAAAGCATCTTAGAAACTTGCTATGTTTCGAATCCGCACCTTAATTCATTAGAAACGGGGAAGTTTGTATGAATACATAAAATTCTGTCAATGTGTCACGCGTCTATTCGTATTTTGCAAAAATTAAAAATTGAAATGCTATGACATAATATAGGTGCTTTTGTTTCAAAAAAAAAAAAAGAATTGAAATTTATTTAAATCGAGTTATTGTTTTTTTTGTCAAATTCGAGCCGCGTTTCTTTGTAAGAAAATTCGGGCCGCGTGAACACTCTTAGGGACTCGATACAATAGCGTGAGGCGTGACATTGTTTTTACCCGACTGCCAAAGAAGGAGGGTAATGTTTTTCGAGTGTATGTAAGTATGTATGTATGTCTGTTCCTTTGTGACCTCCTGTAGCCTAAACGGCTTGATGGATTTTGATGTATGAGGTATCGTTAGATTTGTCTTGATTACGGGAGTGTCATAGGATACATTTTATCCTAAAAGTCCCACGGGATAAAGACATAATAATATATTTTCTAAATTTCCCTTTAAAAAAATATGTATGCGGTATCATTAGATTCATTTCAATCACGGGAGTAATTAATATAGGATACGTTTTTTCTCAAAATTCCCACGGGAACATGTTAATTCTGCGTCAACGCAAAGCAACTCATGCGTTAGCAACATCGATCACTAATAAAGAACTAGATACACAATCCCATACAAAAGTTCGCTTCAAAACTGTCGCCAACTGTATTTAGGTACTTATACTTGAAATAAAAATGCATTAATGTAAATTAAACCTTAAACGCAACTCATAGAGTTGTTTTTACAAAGTGATGTACAAAATCTTAATACTTTTTGCGACCGAAGCTCTTGACAAACACAAATCATAAGAAATTGAACCATATTCGCATGTTTTTAAGTCGAATTTACAAAGTGTCAAAAATAAGCAATAAAATTTAACGACTTCGGCTCACCGCTAGGACAAAGAATGATTGGAGTCGAAATGTCTCGTAAGAAATATATTTCTTTATAATATTTCTTTAGAAAATACGCAAATTAAAACGCATTACTTATAGTATTCTTTTCTATAGGTTTGTTCATTTATTTACCAATGAAACTAATGCATATAGTTATAATTCTTTTTTTTTATTTTCGTCCTCCTTAATCCTTTCTATTCGAAGTCAAATAAAAAAGATGTAAAATAATAAAAAGAATATATATCTAAAGTAAGTACTGAAAATGTTGGCGTTATTGTTGTAAATTTTTCATATCGCACGGGATTTTGATGAAAGCTAAAAAAAATGTCTTTACTGCAGTTAAAATTAAATCCATTATATCTGCCTATTCCATATTTTAATAAACACAGTAAAGAATTATAATATTAAATAAAAACTATTTTTTAATAAAAAAAAACAATATATAAAATTAGGAACAATAGCGTCTCCGCTAAACGGAACAGAATCAATCCACGTAAACCGAACAACTTAAGTGGTCATGCTAGAGAATGATTTTACGTTTAGTATAAGTGTCTTTATAAACTGTGTGCATTATAACCCCGGTTTTTGAATACGATTTCATTTGGAAAAAGTTTTAAAGTTAATTTCTTAATAAAATATCAATATTTAAAATAGAATGATGACAATTATATAATGATAATATTATGACTAAACGAAAATATGAAATTCCATCCTTTTTTGCATCTTAGATGTGTGTGTTTTTGCAGTTTTTTAACGAGCACTGAGGCGTGTTTACCGTCGGAGCATTCGAGTGGTACTAATCTAAAACTACACCGCGATGTTGAGTTTGGTGGACTTTCAGTTGGGACATTTTTTTGCCACTGATTGTGTATCTAGTTCTTTATTAGTGATCGATGGTTAGCAAGCAAAAAGATAGGGCGTGGCCTGGCATGCGGCGCGCGGCGCGGTGCGGAGGGGGATATGCTCGAGTATACAGCCCGAATGCGGGCACACGCATAAGGGCACACGTCGTTGACGGTCGTCTCTAAATAGCGATTTTTTCGATACTTCGTCGTCTGACGCGAAACTTATAAAGTATAAATAACTCGTTCTTTTTCTTTCGTGTTTCTCTCTTTAAATTTATTCGTTCTTTCTAATTAATTAACTCGTTCTTCCGTTCTTTTTTTTGGTTCTTTCTTAAATTCTTCATAATTAATTAATAATATAATAATAATTATTAATAAAAAAATAAAAACAGCTAAAAAGTTATAAATAAAAAAAATATTATTAAAAAAACAAAATACCCGACTGCACACTAAAAAAAGAGTAAAACAAGCCCCACAATACAAATTTACTGAATATAATTTATAAATGTTGATGGAAAGCATCGCAGGCGGGGACCACCTTGACCGCCACCAACGAAAATTCTGCTAAATGGTGCACAACAGAAATGACTATAAATAAGCCTCTGTTGGTCCCCGCCTGCGATGCTTTCCATCAACATTTATAAATTATATTCAGTAAATTTGTATTGTGGGGCTTGTTTTACTCTTTTTTTAGTGTGCAGTCGGGTATTTTGTTTTTTTAATAATATTTTTTTTTGTCAATTGCGTATAACATCATTTACCTTCTTTTTCATTTCACAACTGAGAACGAAAAATAGAGATAATATTATAATATTTAAGGTCAGATGCCTATGGAAAATAGTTTCGTCTTTATTTTTTACCAATTACCCTAATAAAGATAGCTATATCAAACTTTTTACAGACAAATATTGTAATAACAATCAACTACTTAGGTGACGTAGAAATATAATTGTTGTCCTAAAATAATTATTAATTAAATCGTGTTTCAAAAGAAATATACATATTTGTTACATAATGTTTTAGAAGCTGGACCTTTATTATGATGACAATGCTACAATGCAGGTAAGAACCATGAAACACAGACTTAAAATAGGTACAAAATAGAAATTATTGACCGTCAGACAGTTCGTCAGTGAAGCTAGGTGCTACTCTTTCTAACTTAGCATCAATTTAAACTAAGTAAATGATCAAGTTAGAAGGAAAAGAGGAGGCATGTATATCATTGTCGTCTGAGGGTTAACGTAATATGAAGTAATGAGGTCAAAAAGTCCCCGTTATCTACTAGATAACCCTAACATTACCTACACAAAGGTCTTTGAGCAACAAGTATGATATAATATTGACCAGTCATAATAATATGAGAACTTTTTTCTTTGCATACGAGTATGGAAGTTGTGTTTTGTTTTCAAATTGATAAAACGCATAGACGTGTGTTCAATCTTGTCTTATTCATATGTTTATGCATTAACTTTCTAGATATTTATGTTAAGAAATTATTTATCAGACAGACTTATTATTGCTTATTAGGTCTTTCATTAATTAATCTTATAGAAGCTTAGGTACTTTTAATAACAAACCTTGGCTAGTCTAATTCTAATTTACAACAACTACGACTGACACCCGGTTTGTGAAAGGCTTGTCAACGCTAAAATTAACTAATCTCCTGTTAAATCTCTGTCAAGTCATCTGATTGGTTTTTGATAATTCATTCAACCAATCAGATGACTCGACAAGAGATTAAATTGATTTTAACATTGATCGGCCTTTCGGAAACCGGGTATAAGTCTAAATCCTAAGAAATAAAAAGAAGCTAGCTAGGGTTTGCGATCAAGCGCAATAGTATAACACAACTACAGCTTGAAACAGGAGAAGGAAAGGGTTGGTATTTAGTCAGTAACAGTCTGATTCTCCTTCCAGCCCCACCAGCCACCAGGGTGCGAGAAGTAGGATGCAATGATTTACCCCCTATAAAAAAACACGCTCCTATTTCTACCCATGTAGTCAAAGTCATAAAGTTACATATGTAATACTAATCTCTCCGTTACAGGAAAGACTCCGTTCCATTCATCAAGAATGGCTTACAAGGTACCATCACGAAGACTCCAATTCCCGAGAAGCCCGGCAAGGCTGGCAGGGGCAAAGCCCTAAGGCAGGTGATGGCATCCTTCATCGCCAACCTGGGTACCATTAACACTGGAATGGCGTTTGGTTTCTCTGCCACTTCTCTACCGCAGTTGAAAAGTCCGGATTCCTTCATACATATTACTGATAACGAAGCCAGTTGGATAGGTAAGGAGTTTTTTATCTCTACTTCTATTGTTTTATGTGTGACTAGTTTATTTAGTGACAGTATGAATCAATTCAGAAACAGAATAACACGCTAAGTTTTTGCCCGGGGTTACGGGCTTACGGGACAAGCGAAATATCCCGACACAGGTGGTTTTTGATCAGTAAGAGTCTGACACACCCTCTCGCTTTGACCAGGCACTAGGAGGCACCAGGAAAGAGATGCCTCAAAAATACCATAATAACCAATTCTTAGAATTGTAAAAATTCGGTTTTACTTATTTATTTTCTTTTTTAACAATCTTTCTTTTCATTTCAACAGTTCATAAAAAGATTATTTAAATGCGAAATATAAATTTATTAAAAATAATCAATCACTGTAAACACACCACAATATTTTCCGCGACAAGCTTGTGCGAAATTCTTCCGAGATTTTCATGTTCAAACCTGTCTAATCAAAGATGAATGATCTACGAAATTGGCTCAAAATAGTTACGCGGAAGTTATTCTGCGATGTTCCTAGGCATACTTATATAATTAGTATAATCAGTTACATTTTCTCTTATCTCAAGTACCTCTCATCTTTTATTATCTTGGGATTACACTCAGTAAACATTACAAGATAGATTACATTACAATAGTTTGTTGGTATGCACGTTTTTCACTATTTGTAGACTCGGGTTTTTCAGAGGTTAAGGACATTTGCACTTTTAATTTTGTTTGATAGGTATTTTTATACTGGCTTACTACTGTTTACTGAGATCATTAGTCTAGATGGAAATATTTGTGAATGGAAATTTAAATATGGTCTTTGTATGTGAAGCTTTAAGTATGGTAGTGATTCCACGGCCTCACAGAAAATCGGCGTGAAACAACCACAGCGTGGTGTTTCACCATGTTAGTAAGGTTACCCTCTCTTCTCCGAATCACTGAATCTCCCAAGTAATTATCCCCAAAAGGTCGGCAACGAACTCGTAGTTCCTCCGTTGTTGCGTGTCCATGGGCGGCGCTGATTCCTTATACCGTCAGGTAATCCGTTTGATCATTTGCGGTATATCAAAGTGTGGGAGAGCCATGCTTCGGCACGAATGGGTCGTCTCGACCGGAGTGATACCACGGCCTCACAGAAAACTGGCGTGAAATAACCAAAGAGTTGTGTTTCGCCGTGTGAGTGAGCTTACCGGATGCCCAATCCTTCCCCTACCCCAATCCGTTCCCTTTCCCAAAATCTCCAAACCCATAATCTCCAAAAGGTCGACAACGCACTCTTAAGTCCTCCGTCGTTGCGTCAAAAATCACATACAAAAATGTTGTAAAGAATATCATGATCTCATAATTTTCTATATTGATCTTACTGTGTTTTACGGGTTGTTCTATTCAAAATTTTAGGGAAAATATTTAAGAAATAACTTAAGTATGTGTGTGTAATGTTGCACGTTAATTATCATACACACTTCACCTATTATGTACCTAGATTATAATATCATTTTTAATTAGAATAAATATATGTTCTTATTCAACAATGATTTTTTAATTTGCTACAGCCAGTTTAAGTGCAGCCGGTACGCCGATAGGATGCATTCTCAGTGGATACCTCATGGACAACATTGGACGCCGAAGGACACTCATCGTTACTGAAATACCGCTCATATTCGGATGGCTTATGGTTGCTTTTGCGCAAAACGTTCCTATGTTATATATTGGTAAGTAAAAAATGTGTTTTATGTACCTAAATGCTTTTATTTATTGAAGTTTTTAAACATTATAAGTAAATTTAAAATACAAAATAGTAAAAAAGGTACACATGACAATAAAATTGTTGTTAATTATTTGAAAATAACTGTAAACGACTCATATTCATGAGCAGCGTGTGCGTCTCAGCGACGTCATGCGTATTAAATTAATCGTTAATAAGTTTACTTTACGTTAAGGCGATCGACATGTTTATGACGACGCTCTGATTGGTCTACTCCAAGTTAACCAACCAATCAGAGGGCTCAAAGGAAAAACGTTTCGTTCGCGTTACGTAAAACAAACTCACATTATGTACTCGGATCCACAATACGTTTCGTATGAATTAAATGAGAGCAAAAATTTGTTTTGTTTCTTGTCTTGCTGTAGGTATATCAATGTTTGTCACGCCTGTCTCTTATTTTGATGGGCAAGTATAAAGGAAATGCCAATAAACCAACATTTGAAAGATGGAATTTTATGCTTGTTTAATTTTCAATATAAAATCTTCCAACGGTTAGAATTTGTCTTTCAAATGACAGACAAAGTAACAGGCAGGCAAAGTAATGTCGCTTCGGTTTAATTATTTAAGCAACAAATATTTGCGAATTTCATTACTTAAAATATTTGTGATACTAGCCCATACTTGCAGTGTGATTCACAAATATTAATAAAGTAACTATCAAATTCAATACTTTTGAATTGTCGTAATCGATGGCATTCTAAGAACTTTGTATGTAAGAGACTGTATGTTGTAATGTCACATTTTCAACGACAGCGTAATATTTTTCTTAAAAATTTACTACAAAAAAACGAATTTCTCCTGTGTCGCGGGTGCTTCTACAATCATAAAAATTCGCACCCAGACCCAGAACAACAATTTTTGAGAGTATTGTTTCATACGGGAATCGAACACGTGGCACAACCGCCAGTTGTCTAACCACTACGCCAATCCTGCACTTAACTACTCCGAGTATGATGTGCATATTTGAAAATGCACACGCTCAAAGATCCCATTATACGGATCCTTTTCTTTTAAGTATCCTTTAGAGAAAAGCCAGTATCAAGTTGTAAGTTCTGATCATCATTAATATTACAGGCAGGTTGATGATCGGCTTCGGTTCTGGCATGGTGGGCGCTCCAGCCAGGGTCTACACGTGTGAGGTTTCCCAACCACATCTCAGAGGAATGCTCGGCGCTCTCGCATCAGTCGGCGTGTCTACTGGAGTTTTGATACAGGTAAACCTTCACGAAAAGACCGTACTCCTTAAAAGACCGAATGGACTTGCGGCCCCCCAGGCTTACAAAAAGATGATCTGTCGGCTTTTTTCTAAAAATTCTAGGTTCTTCACTGGTTAAAGATGATTTTGTACATTAAATAAAACATAAGTCAATTAATCACATATAGTTAGCAATTAGCGTTGTCCATAGTCATCCACATAAGACCAGTAACTCATTTCAACGTTTTTTTGAGGGGGGGATGTCGTCAAATGTCTTCTCCCGCCCTGGGTGTGAGGTGTCAGACTCTTACTGACTAAAAACCACATCATTCCTTTTCCTGCTCAAAGCCAGGGCCGCGGTAAGTTTGTGCGCTCGACCCCCAACCCTGGGCAGTTATAACTTTTGTGGTACATTTTAACGTCATTCTTCTTATAACCTCACTCACACTGCGAAGCACACGGTATTTCTCGACGTTTTATATCAAGCCTTTTTTATGCCAGGCCACAATGTTCCCGAAGTATGGCTCTCCCAAGTGTACAAGTAGGCGATTTTTCTTTTAATGTATTGCAGCTGAAAATAGACTTGTCCTTCACACGTATCCGCGTATTCACTGTAGTCAGTAATTATGTTGACTTTGGTATCGGAACTAATATATTCGCGATATGCGAATCACGAACTCTAATTGCCTTCTCATGAAGGATTTCAATCACATGACCAACGGAAGTGCGACTTTCAGGTAATGGATGGTGAGATCGATGTCCGCGTCACGCTAAAAAGTTATATTTTTGGTAGTTACGCAATAAATATGGGAGAGTCATGCTTCGGAACTAGGGCATCGAGAACCGGTCCTATTTTAGGAACCGGTTCTTTCGGTTCTAAATTTTAGACGGCGCCGGGTACCCGGTTCTTTCGGTTCTTTCGGGTTTTTTTCATAAATTCCATTTGAAAAGTGTCTAACTAATTAAATACATTTTATTGGTACTCATTTTTATAAATTTTTTTAATTACACTCAAATTACGACATATTTTGTAACTTATTTTGTGTCCAAAATTTTAATTTCGCGGGGTGTCATGAAGCATTTACTTCAATGTCCCTTGTGAGTTTCTTAAAGATTTATCATCAATAATAAATTATAACGTTATTTATTGGTTTAACAGTGAAATAACTGCATATATTCTGTCTTATAATAAGTTGGATAAATCCGCAAGCTTGTGGCGAGCTGTTGGGCAGTGGCGACCCCACGGCCCTGACTCCCGGGAGGTGTCTTGTTCTTCATCTCCGGTAGCCTCGTGACGAGCTAGAGTGAAAACTGATGAAGAACAAGCCTCCCTACCTCATTCTTGCCTTAATTGGCTGGCTTGAGTGGAGATTCGCAAGAGTAGGAGTGGAAGGAGACTCAGGGGAAGGATGTATCTCAGTAAGGTGCTGGTAGGGGTCTTCACGGTACTTCCGGGATTGCTCTGATAGCCGTGGGATGCCTCTCCTTCCCCAAGCAGCTCAATGTATGGTGCCTCCATGTCGCAACATGCTAGCGGCCGTTTCCGGGGGCCCATTAATTGAGTTTGCCAGCCACCCCCCTGCCTGTTTATCCGTATGTATCAATATTGGTCAGGGGCAGGGGCCATGGTATTTCCAAAGTTATCATATCCTCCAGTCCATAGCAACCCACGCCAAACATTTTGGCAACAGTCCTGCAGCAACCGGGAATTATCCTTGGGTGCACTTTTTTTCTTTGTGCATACAGGGATTATTGCCGGCTGATGTCCCATTTCACTTAAAGTTGTTCAACGGGCCTCTGCGAGTTGGTTTCAGCTCCTCGTACGCCTTCCAAAGGTCCGGTCGGAAGAGTATAAAGATATTATTTTTAAAATTTTAATAGAGACCCGTAAGAACCAAAAAAACCGGTTCCTCGTTTGACAGAACCGGTTCTATCAGTGTCTTCCAGAACCGGGAATTCCCGGTTCTTTTGGAACCGGGAAAAACCGGTTCTCATGCCCTATTCGGAACGGATGGGCCGGCTTCACCGGTGTGATACTGGGGCCTCACAAAAAACCGGCGTGAAGCAACACTTACATTGTATTCCGTGTGAGTAAGGATACCAGAGGTCCAATCCTTCCCCCATCCTCAATCCTCAAATCCCCTATACTTAAATCACTAATGACCCACAAAAGGCCGTCAACCTATGGTATTACGAGTAGCCATGGGCGGCGCTGATTGCGCACCATCAGGTAATCCGTCTGCTCGTTTGCCAACGAATGACATGAAAAAATATATCATAATTAATCATACTGAACTGTCAACGTAGTTTGTATATTGCCTAATACTAATAGGTATAAAATATATACGTATTATTATTAGACACATACAAAATATTTTTCCTATTTCCTGAATCCGAATTTTCCTTGACATTATGATTAATTTTAATGAGTAACTGTAGTTTTATCAACATATGTACAACACTGGTAGGATAAGTAAGATTTTTTGTATTTTTTCATAAAAACTAAAGCAAAGTTATATGCGTCTAAATTTGGCAATTAATGCACATCGCAAATGACTTTAGTTAGGTACAACTATAATTATCATACACATCCAAACAAGTCGACCGGACCTTATTAATATAATATGTCGTGGAATTTTTCAATTTGAAAACTAGTTTCTCTAATTTTTGTTTCACGATTTCACAAATGGGTACTGATTTTAGTACTTACTTATCCAATAGACATTTTTTTAACTTAATAATGTGATAAAAGGTTACTTTTTTATGTAATTGGTCGGCAAACTAGTAGGCGTATTACCGGATGGTAAGCAATCAGCGCCGCCCATGGACACCCGCAACGGAGGAGTTACGAGTGCGTTGCCGACCTTTTAGGGATTAGGGATTAGGGATTTGGAGATTTAGGGATTGAGGAGGGATTGGGGGCGGGGAAGGATTGGGCCTCCGGTAACCTCACTCACATGGCGAAACACAACGCTGTGGTTGTTTCACGTCGGTCTTCTGTGCGGCCGTGGTATCACTCCGGTCGAGCCGACCCATTCGTGCCGAAGCATGGCTCTCCCACACTTTAAACCCATACTGTTACTGATAAAATCTAGTTTAACTGTCAAGACTTTTTTTGTGTATAGTACATACCTACCCACGTGAATTATATTACAAAAGCTCTACTAGTTTTATTTTATAAAGGGTCTCTTCTTTATGAGTAGCGTACGCTCGCGGCGACGTAAGACCACTGTAAGATAGTTTCAATAAACTGGAATATTTTCTTTATTTTTGTATTTGAACCATACCATATTATATTTCAATAGGCTACTAGGAATAGAATCTTGTTTTTATATCAAAATTCTAGTAGTAGGTACTATTTTACCAAAACATTCCAGCAGGAAAGTTATTGAAACTGGATTCTAAAATTTCTCGATACCCGATTTTAACATTGATGAAATCATTAGTAAAAACGTGACTATATACATATCATTAGTAGTATGTAGGAGTGTAGAAATTGGCAGTTTTCCATTTTCCTCGTGAAATCGTGCATCTAAATTTGTCATTGAATAATATCCTAATTTTTGATAGACGTTTTGAATACTAAGAAGCCAGATAATCATAAAATTGTCTAGTATATTTATTCAGTAAGAGTCTGACACTCCGTCTCGTCCAAGGAAAAGGAAGCCATTGGATGATTTGACCCTAAAAATCCAATCCAATATTATCAGAATTCTAATAGGGTTAATAAATTAAAATTAAAAGATTATTAGTTCATTTTAGATCACGTGAAAATCCACAAGAGATTTTAATGGACAAGAAAAACTAACAACAATATCGTGTCATCAAAAACATTTACAGAATCAATCATTCCAATCATTTGTATCTCACGCCTCCATGACGGAGGTTGTCAAAAGCGGTTAGCGCCATGATTGAAAATGTTGGTTCTGTAAAATTAGAACTGTCGCTCTATGGTAAACATGGGCAATAACACCGGTATTAGTTGGGCAAACAATATGGCCAACGTTTGCAATAACATTGGCGATACGTCATTATTACGTGCAATGAGGTGCAATGTCAACTTCGGTAATAATTGCACATTCAAATAAACATATTTTGTTGTGTAGTGACTTATTTTGATGTTACCAAATTAGAGTGATAGGTAATAGTGTCTTCTTTATCACTGCATCAGAGAGGCATGTCTACCAAACGACTACTGCTTCTTCAGCAAATCATACCTTGATCTTGAATTCAACTTAGCAAATGTGTTAATGATTTTGGATTCAATAGGATCTCGGATCTGGGAACGATGCCTCGGCCTCTCAATAGTTAGCTTTCAAATAAAAATTTTTTTTTTCAATAACACGATATTGAAGCCGACTGACATTTCAGTTCCTTTTATCTGTGAGCCCGAGGCGGATGAATCCCGATCAGCACTATAGGCAAGTGCCTCATAGACGCCCCTATTTTTTTTTAGACCCATACACATCCGCGCTGTCGCACCTTACCGTGGGTTGCCTATGCGCGCATCGTGGTGCCTCTTCGCGACCAGGCGCCATTGGCACTTGCCTATTTTTCCCTTATAAATAACAAGGCTCTGCTATGAGCTAAAGAAATGTTAGCGGTTCTAATTCACATTTGCACATAATTCCTGTGAGTGTTCCTGACAACTACTATATAATATAATATCTCCATTTTCCAGTACGTGATAGGCAGTGTGACATCATGGAATATTCTGGCAGGGATCAGCGCCACGATACCTATCCTCTCACTCCTGGGTATGCTTCTTCTGCCAGAGACCCCCAACTACCTCCTCCAGCAAAACAAGAGGGAGAGGGCCGAAAGTTCCCTCACCAAGCTAAGAGGCTCCACTTGCAATTTGGAAGATGAAATTCAGAAAATGATTGCGTTTAAAGAGAAGAATCATGTTGAACCGTAAGTTTTTGGCTCGCTTTTTGAATGATTATAAGTGGATAGGGAGTTTTTTACTATTTGATTACTAGGCATTTACTTACATTTGTATCGAAAATAAAAAAAATCTGTCGTGGCCCGGAGGTTAAGGAGCCCGCTTCTCATGCATGAGGGTGTGGTTTCGAAACCTGGCAAGTACCAATGTGAATTTTCCGAGTTATATGTACTTTCTATGATTATTTAGACACCACTGACATACGGTGAAGGAAAACATCGTGAGGAAACCTGGTCTTATAATTTCTAATTATAAGTTTGAAATCGCCAACCCGCATTGAGCAAGCGTGGTGATTAATGCTCTAACCTTCTCCGTATGAGAAGAGGTCTTTGCTCAGCAGTGGGCACTTATAGGCTGATGATGATGTATCGTATGATCGAAAATATGATAAAAATGAGGGATCTGAGTTAATGCTTGGCGGAAGGATGTAGGCTTAGTTGTTATGGAAGACACCATCAATTCTTATTACTCGTAAATTAGTAAAGTTAAATATTTATTTATTTCGATAATCAATATGCTTTAAGTACTTGTATCTTTATTTTTCCAATGCGAAACGTAAATAGTAATATCTAATAGTTAAATAAACAAACAGAATGGAGTATTTTTAGACTTGCAAAGAACTGTTTTATATATAAAATATATCCATTCATGCATACCCAAATGTGTTGGTAAATATTTAACAGTTTATGGAAGTGATAATTAAATTACTAATATCAGTATTTTAAGAAAATTGACGCAGTTATATCAGCTATACATATATACATAGCTTTCATATTTGCATTTGTTGACAGAATTTTTCTTTGAGTGTAGATTTAATATAATACTAGTAAATCATTCTGAAAATATGTAAGTTTCTTAACTTTCTGAAAATAATACCATCGAAAGTGTTTGATAGATATGCATAATTACATCAAATAGTTCTCTTTCCTTGAAGGTAGGAAATTTTATATTTTCCTTACATTAGTTGCATTCTTTTATTAGGTATTTAAATATCTATAATAATTATTCATGGGACATTTTCTTTTCTATATAAGTAAGTAGAGTCACGATGCACGTTTGTTTTAATAAAATAATATTATTTAGCTACAATGAGTGATGGTCTTGCGACTTCTAGTGTTTGTACTTCCTTGATTAATTGTCATTGCGTGACTAGTTTTTTTTTATGGTGGCTTCACGTTATTTTTGTTGAGATAGGACGGCAAACGAGCCATATGTGATTGCTTAACCTGATGGTAAGCAATAATACTAAAGAAAATGTGTTAGCGGCTTTCTGGCAGTTAAGGTTTCGGAGATTTAGGGATTGGGTAGGAATTGGAGGACCTCACTCTCACTGAAAACAACAATAAAACAATGAATTTATTTTTGCAAATAGGCCATAAAACGGCACTTTTACACGTCAATTTATATGTGAAAAACTAAATGACGCCGGCGCAACGCTGTGGTTGTATCTGTGACGCTGTGGGGTCACCCCGATTCACCCCATTCTTGCCGAAGTATGGCTCTCCCATATTAGAAGATGATGACAAGATATTTACTTGTTTAGTCATAGCTTGCTATGACAGATTTACATATGAGCCACGAAGCATAAGTACTTAAAATATTAATACTTTTTTATTTTCCAGAGAAAAGATTTAGAATTTAGGTCAGTTTTATTAAGAAACTATACTATATAGGTATATTGTATCTATCTGTTGACGAGTTTATAAAATGAATATTAAAATATGTTTGTTAGCACAAAACTCAACAACGCCTGGATCAATTTCGTTTATATTGGCATTAAAATCGGATTCTTAAAAGGCAAAAGACCATTCCCTACATTTTTATATCTCTATTGCTAAGTTTTAATATTATTCCGTACATTTATTACAGATTGAAAGGTCCTCGTGAAATTATCAAAGCTCTGCTGTCCCCATCCACACTGAAACCGTTCACGATCCTGGCGATCTACTTCTTCGTGTACCAGTGGTGCGGTGTCAACACCATCACTTTCTACGCCATCGATGTTTTTGAGGTATGCTGCTATCATCAGTTTAAGCGTCATCATTATCCAAAAAACATTGGGGGAGGCTCATTTTCAGCACTTAGTAGTTGGTATGATTATCAATGCACAATATAGGACTCCTCAAAAGACTTTAAGATTGGCAGTTAAGATAAAGGTAGGTACTTATGATTCAAATTAAGAATTCCTTATAACTTCTTTCCTATAAAAAAACAAAAGACTATCCCACTCTAGGATTTTCTACTGTTTTTCGTGGGTGCGTTTACAAACATTAGATTATTACAGCCTGACCCAAAACAATAATTTTATTATTGGATCACATATGTATATAAATACTATGTTCTAGTTCCGTGGCACGGCAGTTGTTCGGCCACTGCGTCAGCCATGCTGTCAAGCATCTTTTGATGATACTCATTTCAACAGGGATTCCTTGCGCTAAGATTCATTACTATGAATTCTCATCAAGGACCCTTGGGTATTCTAAAAAGGGTTTGGGAAAGTTATATTTACCTTACCATTCTCTTTGAGGTTTCGAAATCTGAAATTGTCTATTATAAATACACCAGCATTTGCACGGGATAGGTTGGCAAACGAGCATACGAATTACCTGTTGTTAAGCAACCGGCGCTGCCTAGGGAAATTCGTAATAGGTACCACTACGAGTGAATGTAGGTCTTTGTGGATCAGGCCGTGGTATCACTCCTTTCAAGCCGGTTTACTATTGGTGCCGAAATATGGCTCTCCTGCACATTAAACTTTAATTTAATATTAAATATTTTCAGGCCTCTGGTGCAATGACGAACAAGAACTGGCTGGCTATCTCCATGGGTATAGTGCGTGTTATATTTACTGTCATCGGTTGCATACTCTGCAGGAAATGTGGTAGAAGAATCCTAACATTCGTCTCTGGTAAGTACCTAATAAATAGGACATGTTATACAGAATCTCATCATAGATGTAGTTATGTGTACTTAGTCTGCGGTTTTACTTGGTAAAAGTTTCGAATTGAATATTGACTTAAGTAGGGTGGTATTTAAGTAATTTATATTTTAGCAATTTTCTCAGGCAAAGTTAAGTTTTTATTTTAACTTGTTTATATTATCTATCACTTATAGATAACTGATTTTGCGATTTTGCATTCAACAACGCCTGGAAAAATTTTGCAAATCCTTTTATTTTGTTATTGTGTTTGTAACATGGATCGGGAATCTTTCTTTTTTAAAACAAAAATATTAATTGTTAAGAAAAGGATCTTATGAAAGACTTTTTCAGTCAACGTCAAATACGTATATGAGTTACATTTGTCCCCAAGTCTTGTTCCAAAAATCTCTATTTACAGCATCTTCTTACTTTTCAGCGTTCGGTTGCGGAGTGACAATGATAATTCTGTCAGTATACATGTACTTCATCAAGTTCTGGAAGGAGCACGACATGACTCCTCAATACTCCTGGGTGCCAGTAGCCAGCATCTTCCTCTTCGTTATCTTCTGCACGCTTGGGTATCTCATCATACCCTGGGTCATGATTGGTGAAGTTTATCCTACACAGGTGAATATTATGTAACAGTTTTATTTACTGACTTTTCTTTTGAAGTCTGAGCCTATCTCTTAAAATCACTTCAACTTCTGTAAGCCAGAGCCAGGGTCTATAGAAGGTACAATCACAAAAACACAGAGTTCAGTGCGTCCTATGAACATGAATATCATGAATATAAACGTCTTGGCACCTGCAACGAAATTAACCAGATGATATTATTTGAGGAGAAGTAAAATGAAATAGTTTTCACTTGCTAGTTTCAGTGATTGCAGGAGACAAAATTATTTAAGTCTAAAAAGTACAAAGAAATTTCACAACTGAGTAGCCTTTTAGGCGAAAAATATGTATATATTATTTTGGTTTAATTTTCAAAGAATGGTGAATTATAATATATTAAATAATACTGTTAATCATTGCTTTGAGAATATACCTACTTACCTACCTATTTTAATAGCGATGAGAAAGTTTCTGATTCTGATCTGACACGAGCCACAAAATTTTATTGCTTTATTTGGTTAGTAAAAAAACAAAACCCTGTGCCCTTCATAGTAAGAACCAGTCCTAGTCTTAGTAGATTTCCCTTTGATAATTGCTGAGTATTTAACGAAATCATTAATTTTTGTCGTGTTATTTTCAGGTCCGTGGTATAGTGGGAGGTATGACAACGTGCGTAGCCCATATGTCTGTATTCTCCGTAGTGAAGACGTTCCCTTACCTCAAGTACTTGTTGAACGACTATGGAGTTTTCGGTCTCTATGGAACCATGTCTCTACTCGGTATGTATTTTGTTTAATACTAAAAGTCCACAATCTTAAGCCAAGGTTAAAAAAATATATACATATACTTAGTCGGGTCATAAGTTCTGTCACAAACTTTTGATGTAATAACTTATACGCCTTTTGACAATTATTTAAAAATTATATATGAAATGAAAGGTCATTAAATGTACAATATAATTTTATTTACATTATTCGAAATGCCCTCCCCCATTTTGAACACATGCCCTTAATCTACGCGGCCAGTCATCGATCGCTGCACGCACCACATTCATATCTATGTCTGCCGCTGCTTTAACCAGAGATGCTCGGAGAGACTCCAAATTCGGGTGAGGTTTAGCACAGACTTTTTCCTCCAAATATTGCCATATCTTGTAGTCCAGTGGGTTTAAATCTGGACTAGAAGAGGGCCAGTCTTCATGCCGGATGAAGTCAATTCCACGAGCGATCAACCAGTCTTGCGTACTTCGTGCCTTATGAGCCGGTGCAGAGTCCTGTTGGAATATCCAATGCCTGTTCCTGAACATTGTCTGAGAAAGAGGTTCCACTATGTTTGTTAGGACAGTATTTTGATAAACTTCGGCACTAGTTCTCACACCTTTTTCACAGAAAAACACCTCAGTTACGCCTGAATATGAGACTCCAAGCCAAACCATGAATGAGGAAGGGTAATGCCCACGCTGGACCCTCGCAATACGCGCGCTTGCTTCTTCACTGCTGTGGGCATACACCTTATCATTTTGTTTGTTAAAACTTTCTTCAATAGTAAAAATTTTTTCATCCGAAAAAAGAATTTCGCGGTATTTTTTTCCCGCGTACCGTCGTAGCAAAGCGCGGGATCTGTCTAGCCTAATTTTTTTTAAACGCTCGTTCAAAAAATGTCCTGTCTTTTTACGATAAGCTCGTAGTCCCAGGTCTTCATTTAGTACTCTTTTAACAGTGGTTCTGCTTAGCCCCATCTGCAGAGCTAGGATTTTTTGTTTACGTACGGGATTTCGTTCGATTCGCGCCTTCACTGCTTTGATGACCTTATGTGTCCGAACTGTGCGAGGTCGGCCGCTTCTCTTACGATCTTCGAAGCTTGACTCTTCGGTGTATCGTTTGATAGTACGATAAACAAACCGTAACGTTATTTTCAAATTTTGAAGAATATTGAAAATGTCTTTTGGCGCGTAACCACAGCGGTGCAACGCGATAACCGCGATTCTGTCTTCTTTATTCGACCACTCCATATTTAAAAATGAATAAAAAATAATTTCTTTTTTATTTTCTACAAGCGCGAAAGTTCTATTTTTAAAATAAGTCGAAGAATTTCTGGCCAGTAATCGAAAATTAAAAATATAAGGTTTTGACAGAACTTATGACCCGACTAAGTAATTCATTGTGCGTTTTTTGTTTCATTGATCATAATTAAATCCGGTTGGAAACGTCGCTATCTTAAAACTAGCTATTTTATTCAAAAACAACAAACATCATTAAAGTATCAGCGAAATCGATTTAGCCGTTCTCGAGATTTATGCTTACCAAATATTTATAATCCAAATATTTATAATATACAGCGACCCGCCCCGGCTTTGCACGGGTGCTGTTGTACTTAATTTTTCTCCTACCTGCCTCTTCAATCATTCTATCTATTAAAAAAAGGTAGCAAAATCCGTTGCGTAGTTTTAAAGATTTTACCATACATAGGGATATAGGGAGTGATAAGATGATAATCTTTTCTCCTTTTCCTTTCAGCAATCATATTCTTCTACTTCTACCTTCCTGAAACCAAGGGGAGAACACTGCAAGAGATAGAAGATTACTTCAGTGGCAGAACGAAGTCCCTGACGAGACGTAACACGCAGTGTGAAGGAGCGTGATCGAGTGAGATTGGAGTGTGATGTGATGCAGTGTAATATGATGTGTGATAAGGCCTGATTGTGATACATTCGTGTGAATTAAATGAGCTTATACTTTCAATAGTCATCTATAAAATAACAGCCTTAAGGTTGAATATTGGTTACATCGTAAAGCTGGTCCTTTTTGAATACCTAACCACAAATAATCCTATAGAATTTGTGAGTTCGTGAATTTATGCTTAGGTACGTATTGTATATACTGTGCATTCGGTGCTACAAAATAATTGTTTTGAAGTTACATAATATACGAATACCCTGTACTGCATAAACCTATAAGATACTTATAAAAAAATAAGAAAACATTATGTACGAAGTATCATGAAATGAAACTAGATGGCAGCACTATAGCTTGTTCCAATATGTTGCAATCTAACAAAAAGTAAAATTGAAATATGCCAGTGTCAAAAATTAAATTCAAAAACATTGGGACAAGCTGTTATGACGCCATTAAAGTGATCACAGTTATTTTAAAACATAACCACCTTATTATAATACAAAATTTATCTTTAGCCTAGGTTTAAACCATTGAGTCAGCTTTTGAATTTTGAATCTTATTGTCACCTGCCTTTAATTCGAAATACAAAAACTGACTCAATGGTTTAGACCTAGACTAAAGAAAAACCTTGTAAACGAAAAACATATTTCTGTAAGTACCTACCTACATTTTTTATGACACGACATGTAAACCGCTGCAGGCAATTTTATTTGTTATGTTCTAAATGATAGAGTTGAATATTAAAGATACTGAGATACAGAGTGGTAGTGCCTTTGTTTGAGGCACTTTATTTACTTAACTATTGTGTGCGTTACTTGTTGACTTCTGAAAAAGATTTAAGACCTATTTTCACGGGTTTAAGAAAAAAACATTTTTTTTTATATTATGTTAATTTTTCTACAATAATTGAACACAATGAGTACTATTATTAATATTTTCTTCAATAAAAACAAAAAAGTCGCGTCGTTTATTAATATTAATCATGATTTACATTTTTCAAGTTACACAAATTACAATATTCCATTATTATTTTTTACAACAGTAGGTATATTTTTCACATTTATAATTTGTACAGAAATAAGAAATGCGTTTGTTTTTTAGATTATTTTCAACGTGAAAAAAGGTTTTAAAAATCATGTTGTTGTGTGTGTATGTGTGTTAATTATATTGTAAGTATGTTGTATATTTTGTGAAAGTATTATAAAGCAGTCTATGTAAGTTATAAGTATATTTTTGTAGATATTCGCTTTAAGTATGGATAAAATGTGCCATTTTGTTATCACAAACGCAAACTCAGAAACTCAAAGTAATGAATAACATTGTGATGAATGGAATAAAATTTGTTACAATAAAAATAAATGATGTATATTGGCTATGTGCAAAGCGAGTAGTGACGGACGACCGCAGCGCTCAACACGGCAGAAATTGGAAACAAATGCGGATGATCAGCTATCGGTTTTTATTATTATATTCATATTACAGTAAAACTATTGAATAAATTGCACTTAAATAATGGCAACAATACTATTTTAATCTTTGGTTTTATTTATATTTGCAAAGAAAATTATAATGTTTACATTGTTATTATTTGACAGCTTTCGCAAATGTACCTAAACGCTATGCCTCGCCACATCCGCCCACATAGCCATGAATGTTTTTGTTTTTGCTATACTGACAATGTAAATTACAAAAACAAGTTGTCTTCATATAACTATTTTTATTTATTTACAAAAAAATAATAATTAATGTTACAATTTTTACGTTACTGCAAACAATTATGCATTTTATTTATTAAATTAAAATAAACAAGCCTAATAATTCATTATTTTTAAATGAAATCAATAGTGAAGCATTTTGTGATAGTTTCTTAGATTAGTCCTAGAATTAATTTAAAACAATGTTGAACATATCTGATTTAATAAAAATAAATAAACATATTTTGGCTTTGTTATTTTTTCGTTTTCTATGTCCTTCACGAGTTGTGAATTACAAACGGTTGTTGTTAAAAAAGAGAAATGAATGAATCCCCTACTATAAGTTCGAGTTTACCATTTCAGAAATAGATAAAATACAATGAATTATTAGAATACACATAATTAATCAAGAACTAAAATATCATAGAAGCCATATTGCTTAAAATAGAAAGATTTTGTCCTTGATCGCTTAAAATCTAGCAATATAACAAAATCAAATAGTCCAGGCAAAATGAAAATAAACGTAATGACGAATAACGTGTCGCCTTGAGGGATCATGTGGAAGTGATGTAAGCTTATTATTGATTTTGTCCTTGACCGTTTCAAATCAAGCAATATGGCATAATCTAAAAGCCCTAGCAAAAGAGATACTTGTAAGATGTACCTTTTGCTAGGACATTTAGACTGAATACATACCTATTTGTTTTTGGTATTAATTTCGTATGGTAAGATTAGGTAACCCTCTACACGAGGGGGGTTAATCTTTTACTCTCGTAATGTATAATATTTCCCATGTATAGATATTCGCTTTCCATTGTCTGTTATAGTGACCCTAGCTGAAATGCCACATATAAAGAACATTATATTTACGCGGGTATTAACGCGGAAAATTATAATTTGAATACCTTGGTAGGCTTGACGTTTCGACTCGGTTGCATAGGTCGTGGTCACAAGCAGACACTTGTGTCTGCTTGTGACCACGACCTGTGTGACATTATAATTTTCCGCGTTAATACCCGCGTAAATATAATGTTCTTAAGATGAAACGCGAAAGTTTAAAAATTGCCACATATAAAATCTGAAATCTCTTGTTCAATAGTCACAGCGTCTAGAGGTGTATCGAGAACCGATAGTAAGTGTAAAACAATTATCGGAGCTGATAACAATCGTAAAACCTTCAATGACCAATGTATGTTAGTACAAGCTAGTCATGAAATTGGTTCTGTTGTTCTGTCTACTTTTATTTGTGTGTGATTCGTTACAAACATGGAAAGCTGGTAGGTACCCACATAATCCTACTATCCTACTAATATTATAAATTTGAAAAGTTGTAAGAATGTATTAATATTATGTAGGTATGTTTTTTTATGTGATAGGTCGGCTAACGAGCAGACCTATTACCTGATGGTAAGCAATCAGCCCCTCCAATGGACACAACAACGGAGAAATAACGAGTGCGTTGCCGACCTTTTGGGGGTTAGGGATTTAGGAGATTTAGGGATTGAGGAGGGTTTGGGGGAGGGGAAGGATTGGGCCTCCGATAACCTCACTCTCACGGCGAAACACAACGATGTGCTTGTTTCACGCCGGTTTTCTGTGAGGCTGTGGTATCACGTTCGTTTGAGCCAGCCTATTCGTGCCGAAGCGGGGCACGTTTAATATTTTTAAATACGTATAAGAAGAATGTGTCAATGTGAAAATGTATATTAATTGTAAACGCACCCTGTATCACACCAACCGAGGGCCGGGCACGCTACCATAGCAGCGGTAAGACCCCTCTTTGAGGAGTGGCTTGAGAGACGCCACGGCGTCCTCACCTTCCGTCTGACGCAGGTGCTTACCGGGCACGGCAGCTTCGGTAGGTTCCTGTTTCGGATTCAGCGGGAGGAAACGCCCGAGTGTCGTCATTGTGAGGACCACCTAGAGGATACGGTGGAGCATACGGTAGCGGTATGCCCTGCCTGGGCTGAGCACCGCCGTATCCTCAGGGAAGTGATCGGCGGCGGCGACCTCTCGCGCCCGGCCTTAGTCGAGGCCATGGTGCGGAGTGAGAGGAACTGGGACGCCGTCTCCTCCTTTTGTGAAGCAGTCATGCTCGCAAAGAGAGAGGCGGCCCGCGTGAGGGAGCAATCCTCCTCCTCACGCCCCAGCAGCCGCAACTGGCGACACTACGGGCGTCGGGGATCGAGGGACGATCTCCGGCCACCGTAAGTACGGGCCTGCGGTCGGCGAGTAAGGGCAGCTCGCCGCCCGACCAGAACCAGGCCCGAGCGTACGGCGCGTAGCGTTCCGCGCGCGCCTCAAAGAGCCAATAGACCACCACAGACGGGGCCCTAAAGGGCTGATGTTCAGCCGGGGTTGCGGGGTAAGCGCAATGAGGTACCGCGACCTCGGCACAGAGCAGGAGAAGGAACAGGGGGGTTTTTAGTCAGTAAGAGTCTGACACTCCCTCCTGCCCGGCCCTGGGCGGGAGAAGTCATTTGATGATTTTCCCCTCACAAAAAAAAAAAAAAAAAAAAAAAACCCTGTATCACACAAAAAATCCAAACTAACCAGAATTATCCAAAATTATAAATAGAAAAGTTAGACACTCTTCTGTCTGTCTTTTCTTCACGCCTAAACTACTGAACCGATTTCTGTGATATTTGGTACAGACATAGTTTTGAAGTCCAGAAAGGACAAAGGATAGTTTTTATACCAAAATCCTGCAGAAAAACACTATTTCACGCGAAAGAAGTCGTGAACAAAAGCTATTATTCCATAAAGGGGGCAACATTGTTTTTAAAAACAAAATAACAAAGTAGGTCCCTACAAATTAAAATTGGTTTGGTAAGTACGTAAAAAAATGTAATAGAACCTTTGCTCACATGCTACAACTAACACTATCGAATTGTATTGTAGGTACTACCTATACATGCAAAAAATATCTACCTAAGTATTTTTTTCCAGGTGGGAAGAGACGTGAACTGAGCGATGGAGTAGAGTTTAATCAGATTTCCCGCGCATCACTTCTAAAGATCCTCGGGGACCTAGAAGAGAATTTATATCAAAAGCTGCATAGCACAAATCATAAACCAATCTTCACTGCGACCTTCGCCAATAACCCCTTTACAAAACCACATATTTATCCCAAATATAAAAAGAAAAACTAGCAGGATGATCGTCATCAACCTCAAGAATGAGGGTTTTCTGAAATGTGCCCCGTGAGATGGCAGCACTGTAGCGTAAGGTCCAAGCAACTGTCAATACACATACACGAATTGTATTTTTCATGTCATTATTTTGTTTATTTTTCCTTATAAACATTACAAACGGATTTCTTTTTCAAAATACTATAATTAACAAATAATGACTTTCTTTTTGAGCTCAATATTCATTTCGGCAATATTATTTGGCCGTAATGCATAATAGAATTAATAATACTCGTACTTCCAAATACAAAAAAATGCAAAGTTTGTTAATGAATCTGTGCTATCTGACAGGCTATTTAGCCTTGACGCATATGAAGCACCGATTGGCTGCGGAAAAAGTGTCGAAATCCCTTATTGGGTAGGTACTTGACAGCTAGATAGTCAAATGTTTTTTCGAATTGTCCAAATGGACAGTTTTATTTAAATGTACGGGATTGTGTATTGTGACGTCAGATATATTGTTTTACGACAAATATTACGTATTTCTTGAAAAGTTGAAGAAATAAAGGAATATTAATGTATGTAATATATACATATTATGTCTTAAAATTAATGAATAAAGTGTAATTATTGGTTTTCTTTTTACTTTTTTGCATTGAAATGTCATATACATACGTTACGAAGAGCTGAACAATGGCCTGCTTATCTATCGTTTCGATTTATATTTGGCAACAGACATAGGTTTCTAGTTCCGAGTTGCTACACACATCACTGTAAAAAATTGCAAATAAACGACTAACATGAATCATCTAAGAAAAAGCAGCTGCGACGTCACGTTGCGTTTGCGTTGGTCGTCTGGTTGTGACTTAAAACTATTATATTGCCAATTTTGCCAACCCAAATTGTAACTATTATTGTCAATATTGGATTTATTTTGATAATTGTAGTTTTATTTAGCTTCTACTTATATCAGATAAAACATGTTAACATTGTTTTTGATAAATAAATAATGAATAATAAAATAAATAAATAAATATAGATAATATATGTAATACCTATCGTATATCAAGCAACTTAAAATTACAATGTGACCACCTTCATAATGTTTAAATGAGAAAATTATAATGTTTAAATGATAAAGAAGTACTTACATATATTTGTGATAGATTCTGACCCGAGCGCACCTCAAACAGGCAATAGACCACTATAGACGGGGCCCTATAGGGCTGATGATCAGAATTTATGTGCTTACTTATTATTACCGCTATACCAAAGAGAAGAAACTTAAACCTTTTTGGTATTAGGTATTCATAACTTTGATAAAATACTTATAGTCAGACTTTTAATTCGATTCCTGATTTGACATTGACCACTGTCATTTTGTGAAATAATGATACCACATATAACAGTGTAGTGATGAACACAAAAATCGATAAACAATCAGTAAATCAGTTTCAGGAAGGCATTCAAAATATTACGGCTACCGAATGGTCTTAATGTGTATCCCATGTTTTCAAAGAGGAGGAAAAAATTAGTAAGCTAGATATGTTAATTGACAATAAATATCACAGACACAATTCATAATAAATGTTACATAGAGTAACGGCGATAGCGATAGCGATGACGGCGACAATTTATAAAATGTCTGTTTTATTTGTCACGTTCCTTCATGATCGCATTTTTAATTAATTTCACACAAAATTACAAAAGAAATGTCTCAGATCGTTAATTAATTGTCAAAACTAAATTATCGGTTCAGAAATATTTTATTTCCTGATAAACTTAGTTTACGAGAGTAAATTTATAAACGAGAGGAATCGATTCAGAAATATTCGATTTCCATATCGAATAATTTCGCAACGTCACTATTTATTACGTGTCATAACGTTGCAACACTGAAATTGTCAAATCTGGAATGGAATTAAAATTCCGAGTATAAGTTCAATAAATGTCACCTATGTACTCTATTGGTAAAATAAATGTCAAAAAGACTTTAACTTTCTTTCATATTTTCACATATTTTTATGATAGAAAATACATTAAACTGAACCAAAAGTGAATGAGTACCAAAGTGAGCGAGTTTTTGTTTTCGATAACAAAATACTTGCTCAGGTCACAGTAAAGAAATATCCTTGTAGGGCATAGGCTTCAATCTATAAGTTACTGAATAATATTCAATAATTAAAAATGAAGAAAATGAGTTTGAAGAGAACGACCTTTTCAAACAAAGATATTCAAATAGATCCTGGATTTTGGACGAAGACGTCACAAATTCAGTTGTTATATGGACTTTGGGTGAATATGTGCCACCTTGGTGTTGGACTGGCCCATGGATTACCGTCCGTTCTGGTACCGCAGCTGTCGGCTGCAGATTCCTTTATAAAAATTACGAGGAGCGAGGCTTCTTGGATAGGTGAGATTTACTCCAAACATGCTCCGAAAACTTTAACAAGTTGTACTTTATCACGATTTGTTATGAATTCCAGTGAATCTTTGATAAAATCGAGCTTGAGAGCGATATGGATACTATCGCGCCGCAAATCGCCGCCATAGTTTTTAATTTTTAATAAAACTTCCTACATATTTATAATATATTGAGGTCTAAAACATAAATATTTAAATGCTTATATTACTTAACACCAAAGATTAATCCATCGAGCAGTTGATAGCGATTTAAAAATGTACTTACTTGATTCAATTTCTAGACAATATGTAGCATACGATTGCCAAATTTCGTGAAAATCGATTGGGTAAAAAAGCGGGACGGCGTAAATGCTCTTAGTCCTTTACAGTAACCAGTTTCCAACATATTATTATTATATATTTTATGTCTTAGGAAGGAAAACGAGTAGACGGATTACCTGATGGTAAGCAATCAGCACCGCCCATGGACTCCCGCAACAACGGAGGAGTTACCGACCTTTTGGGGATTAGGAATTTGGAGATTTTAGAATTGAAGTCGGATTGCGGGAGAGGGTGGATTGGGCCTTCTATATAATGCTACTTATTTGATTTTAAACTAGGATCCTCCCATTTGAAAGGCCACAATCTTTTCCCATCATTAGTTTTCTAAAGTCTTTTTTAATGCTATGTTTCAGCCAGTGTGTTCACTCTATTCTCTTCTATCGGGTGTTTGATCAGTGGCTACGTGGCTGACTGGCTCGGCCGTAGAGTTACGATCGTCGCCTGCCAAGCTCCAATATGTATCGGATGGCTGTGCACTGGCTTTTCTAAAAGTCCTAAACACGTTATAATAGGTTAGTTATTTTAGATTTTAGTATTATAATCATGGAATTATAGGTTTACTTATACTCTGTCTCAGTTTCTTACCGTTTCAGTAAGAGTTTCAGAAAGCAATCCTACAGATTGTCAAGTAAAAATATCTAAATTGTAACTGGACGTGTGAGTGGTGGGCTTTATTGGGTTGGGCTCTTGAGTTTCGAAGTTTTTCTCAGAATTGTTCAACAGAAGATCAGTAAATTAATTTTTTTGGCAATGTATTATTGCGGCTGAAAATGTGTATTTTACTAAAAAAATGTTACTGGTCAGGATGTTTGCAAATATAGTAGGTTAATAGTCTTTTTAGTTGCCAACATCATTAACATAACTTTTTGGAAATATAGGAAGAGCAATAACAGGAATTGGAAGCGGCATGGCCTTGGCACCGCCGAGGATATATTGCAGTGAAATTTCTTTGCCTAACATGCGTGGAGTTATTGGAGCCTGTTCTTCATTGAGCGTATCTATCGGTATAGCAATACAGGTAGTATTTTTATTAATCTGTAGCCTTAGAATAATAGAAACCTAGAAATCGAGTATGCATCATTAAAGTGAAGCAACTCAAACCTAGCCATTCTGGCTAAGTTCGTGACGCGACCTGTCAGTGCGTATTGAAAACTACTCTCGATATTTTTATTAATAATGACGGATTGCGCAGTGCACAGATGTCACATTTCATCAGAAAAGCACAAGGAAATTAAACAAGTTTTTCAAGCGTGGGAGAGCCGTGCTTCGGCTCGACCGGAGTGATACCACGGCCTCACAGAAAACCGGCGTGAAACAACCACAGCGTTGTGTTTCGCCCTGTGAGTGAGGTTACCGGAGGCCCAATCCTTCCCCTCCCCCAATCCCTCCTCATCCATAAATCTCCAAATCCCTAATCCCTAAAAGGTCGGCAACGCACTCGTAACTCCTCCGTTGCGGGTGTCCATGGACGGCGCTGATTGCTTACCATCAGGTAATACGTCTGCTCGTTTGCCGACCTATTACATAAAAAAAAAATATTTCACTGATAAGTTATGAGTTTGAACTTATATTTTTACGTAAAATATTAATTAAAATGAAAAAATAAGTTATCTATACTTATAAAAAATCTGTAGAGAGGTCTGTACATTAAATATATTTTTAAAATAAACACCAGGGGGTGATAAGTGATCGATGCTGATGTCTGTCTCTCTGTCTGTCTGTATGTTCCTTATAGAAACAAAAACTACTGGACGGATTTTAACAAAACTTGCCACAATTGTTCTTTGTACTCCTGGGCAGGTTATAGGGTTATAATTTTCATTACGTTACAAATATTAGGAGCAGAGCAGTGAAGGGAAATGTTGGGAAAACGGGAGAAGTTACTCCCTTTTTTTAAGTTTCCGTCGCGTGTGTTGTCTTAATGGTTAAAGTTACATAGAAATTATGTATGACGGAAATATTTTACATAAACTTACCAAAAAAAAAATGTTTTACAGCATATGTTTATCTTTTATGGTTAACTCACAATAGCATGTGTAACTCCCGATAGCTCAGTAGTGCGGAGCATTCTGATTATATTTGTTTTCTTTTAAGTTTATAAAACTCTCACTTATCTTTAATTTAAAAAGTTTACATTATTATCTATTCAATAAAAAAAGAATGATAGAAATCAATATACATGCGTGCACCTTTTCTACGCCATGCTTCAAGATAATAATCAATATCAATACATGTGATGAAACAACCACAGCGTTGTGTTTCGCCGTGTGAGTGAGGTTACCGGAGGCCCAATCCTTTCCCGCCCCCAATCCCTCCTCAATCCCTAAATCTCCGAATCCCTAATCCCTAAAAGGTCGGCAACGCACTCGTAAATCCTCCGTTGCGGGTGTCAATGGGCGGCGCTGATTGCTTACCATCAGGTAATCCATCTGCTCGTTTGCCGACCAATTACATAAAAAAAAAAATAGTAAAAGGTTGGTGTTTTTACAAGAAGAAGTTTTAAGTAATGTTTTTGTCTTTTAGGCTGGACTGGGCAAATATCTGAATTGGCCGGTGATCTGCTACATCTGCTCCTTCTACACAGTCACTAATTTCATTTGCTTCTTATTTTTACCTGAGACACCGTTTTTTATGCTAAAAACTAAAAGTTTGGATGAAGCTCGAGCCGCTCTCGCACATTTCAGGGCCCGTGACTATGACCTTGACAAGGAAATTGATCAAATGAGGAAGTTTAAGGAGGCTAACGACATTCGTAAGTAGGTTGTATTTTTGTTGCTTATTTGGAATTACAGCGTTGTGTTTCCGTATCCTTAAATCCTCAATAGCACAAGAAGCATTTTTTTTATTTAATTTGTGTAACCAACTAGCTTTTGTATAACGTGATCCTTAAAGTTGCTATTAAACTCCTTTTTTACTCTTCCCAACTCCAAGTCTCGTCAGCTCATAAGTTTATTCTTCTTTTATATTTTTCAGAATAAGCGCTCGTGAGCGTCTTTCACTGTTGTTCAAACCTTCGGCATACAAGCCCTTCACTATGGTTGTCGTGTATATATTTATCTCCCAGATTGCTGGCACATCTGGAGTTCCTATATGGGCTGTAGAAATGCTAACGGTAAGTCTCAAATCCGAGGTTAGGGATTCAACGATTCCATTCAAACAATATACAGTCACCACTTTGGTTTGTGATGACGATATTTTTTTAATTTTGATTTTAGGTAGCGAAGTCATCAGTGGACGTGGATACTGGTAATTTTCTAATGTGCCTCACTAGATTGGTGATAAACTGCTTAACTGTAATACTCATTTTCAAAACCGGGAGAAAGCCTTTGGCGCACGTTTCAGGTAATAAAAGTATAAAGCAGTCTTTTTATGTTAATAAGGCACTTACGACAAAAATGCCTATTAATGCTTAAGTGGTTAAATAGAATAATAAAGAAATTCAGTCATTTTGATAGCAAAATGCAAGAAGATTTGAAATAAAAAGGTGTGTTGAGCCTGAATGGCTGAAGAAGTCTGTGTTGGTGTCAGGTGAGAGAGCGTTAGGCAGACTAGGTGATGGTGTCTGGTGGGAAAAAATGCTCTAGGCCGACTAAAACACCTCGATCAAATAGTCTAGTTAAAAACAACCACTATCGATAAGCACGCATAAAGTTAAGAATGAAGGAATTAAGGTAGATGAGGTAAAAGAGTCAGAATAGTAACGTCTTAGTGGTAGACCAAATATTCGGCTCGTATTTTAGTATCCTAAAACAAGAAGTTAACCTGTTTTCAAAAATCTTTATTCGAACAGAACGAATAATAAAACAAGGGTCTGGTGAATCCTTTTTCATTTGACGTTGCATTGTCTAAAACTATCCTAACAGTAAACCGTAAAGACGGTATTATGGATGGACTAGCTTCTTGTAGCGGCTTCGCCCGCAGTACATACTAGGGCAAGAAGTACCCAACTATAATTCCAAACCAGGTACTCGTGTACCTAATCTTCGTCAAATTTTGTTCTGATTTTGTATGGGAAAGAGTTACAAGCATATGGATGCTTCTGTATTTTCGTGTTTTTAGCATTAGTAAGATTTATCTCCTCCGTAGTCCACTAGAAATGTCCATAGAAAAAGAACCTAATGGATTGGAAGCTATGCCTACAGTGACCGCACTTATAGAGGAGATAGGTACATACTTTAGATTTTAAGAAAACTCCTTAACTTACTCATTATTAGGAAATCAAACAAATTCTTAAAGAGTACCTAAGTAAGTTTTATTTAAAAGCTTAAATTCTATTTCTTTAACTTTTCAGCTTTGGGTGTTGCAGTGATCAGTTTAGTTATAGCTATTTACACATCCATTCATAAAGAGCCAAGCTTGGCTCCCCAAATATTGTTCATGATTTACATGGCTTTTGCCAGCATCGGATACTACTTGATACCGTTTCTTATTGCTTCTGAAATATATCCATTGCAGGTAAGTTTGTTTCTTCATTTATACCAAAACAATATGCGTTTTTTATTTCTTCTTCTTATTATTTCGTATCTTCTTTAATTTGTCTTTTAAGAAGTATAAAGGAAGATAGGTATTTATTATCTTTCATTAAATGCATTGCAAACCTAAATCTAGCTTTGACTCCAGAAGAGTTTTACATTAACCTGATTTCTTTTTTGAGGTAAACGAGCAAGCTGTTTACCTTATAGTAATACCGCTCATGGACATCCGCAACACCATAGAAGTTACGAGTGCGTTGCCGGCCTTTTGGCGTTTTGCTTTTCGGATATTTAAGAATTGGGGAATGATGGGGGGAAGGGAAGAATCGGGCATCCTGTCGGTTGATTCACGCCGGTATTCTGTGAGGCCGTGATTTCACTCCGGGCGAGGCGACCCATTCGTACCGAAACTTGGCTTTCCCACACTTAAAATAATATGGTTCGTTTCACGCCTTATTTATTTAGATTAGATAAATCATTGGTTTGAATGATGCAGGTTCGCGGTATTCTTGGTGGTTTCACAGTATCTGTCACCGGTATTCTTATGTTTGGCTGTCTCATACTGACTCCCTATTTGTTGGATAGTCTCGGACTAACTTATATGATGGTGATTTTTGGAATCATGTCCTTATTGGGTAAGCAGGCTTTACTTACGACAAATTTTACTGTTCTGAATTTGAAAAGTAAAATTCAAGATGAAAAATGGACCGACAACCTCGCCAGAGTCGCGGGGAGCCAATCGATGCCAGTGGTGACTTGTCTTTCGGCGTGGAGGACTAAGGGGTCGGCCTTTGTCTAGCTGTGGACGCATTCCGGCTGATGATGATGATGAATTAAGGATACCAGTTGTTATTCGAAACCTTTACCTGAAAGGTATCCTAGATGTTTTGAAAATTGGAATTTTTTAAACTTTTTGAGAAATCTTTGCAAAATTACATTTGCTGCCGCCTCGCCCCATTTATTTCAAAGTTGAACTAGATACTATTTAGAACACTTCGAGTTCAACGCCTTTTTCCCAACTGAATAATGACTGGACTATAACAACAGGCTGATGATAACTTTACCTAGTTAGTTTTTACATGCAGTATAAATTAGTATTTAAAATACTTTGATTACTTACAGGTGTTGCCTACATATACGTATTTGTGCCAGAAACAAAAGATTTAACATTACAGGAAATTGAAGATTATTATAACAAACGAATTCCAGCATTAGTTTCTCAGAGAAGACTACAAACCCTTCAGGATATTGGAGCTCGAAGAAACAAAACAGAAATTAACGTCGTTGAAAGAAAATCTATTTAGACGTGCAAACAGGTTTAAAGAATATATTCCCTTATTCTTTACCAACCTAGAGATATAAAACGTTAACAGGTCCGATAGTAAAGATACGAGTACAACTAAGGTCTCGTTTACGTACACGCGGGGCGTTGCGCGGCGCGTGTTTCGTTTGTTGTACATTACAGCATCAAGTCGTATCAACGGCCGTGCAAACACAAACATATGAACATCACGAGCAATATATGACGAACCGCACATCGCACCGCACAACGCGCTGCTTAAACATAAACGAAGCCTTATACTTGACTGCATGGTTGATACAGTGGCTGGGCAACTGGTTGCTGTGCAACGAGTGGTGTCTCAAAAGAAACAAGAAATTAGCAATACCAATCTACCAAGAAATTTCTAAAATAAGTGCAGATTACATTCTGAATGGTGATAAATATCGTGATGATAGTTTAAAAGGAATAAATGCAAATATTGAACGACCTGTGAGCTACCCGTTTCCTTCTTGTAATAGGGAATCAATATTGAAAGTAATGTATTTAACTCTGATCCATCCAATCTGATCCATTACACGCTAGAAATCATTTCTTCACAGGGCCACTTTTGGCTGTTACGATCGACTGTTGTTATTACCAGAAAATAAAACATCCGTATGTCAAGAATTGACACGACATTTTATTGTTTTTTATTGTAAAAGTAAAACCTCGACTACAACCGACCGATCAGATGTAATAACTGAGGTCTTCTGATAGTCATCTCTTATGAAAGTGAGGTATGGTCACTTTACACATAAAAAATATAAAAAGGTTTCATATAAATATTAGCGGACCCTCCCCGAGAGCCCCCACATATCAAACAGCGAAATCGTTAGTGCTGTTTTTGAAATCACATGTATTTTTAAGCAATCAGTGACATCTGTCGGGCTGATTTGCGAATCTAAACCATCCAGGGCGCCACTCAAACGCCTACAGAAAAACAGTTAAATCGATCAAGCAGTTTAAGAGGAGTTCAATAACATACACGCGTACATCAGAATTATGAATATAAAGTTTTAAAGGACAATTGTTTGTATAATTTTCTATTTCATTTGGTGATGACACTATTTTAGAAGTACCTAAAACACACGAGATATATATTTATAACTATCTCAAAAAAAAGACATTAAACTGAGAGTTTTTGCGTTGTGTCTACACATTATATTTCAAAGCATTATCCATTGATCATTCTGTAAATAATTGTAACAATCACGTCAAAGTTATTCTTTAACTAAATGCCTGAAGAAAATGGGAACTGTTTTAAATAAGACCTGGCAAAATTCCCTTGTTTTCCCTGGACTCTCACATAAATTCAAGACCAAAATTAGCCAAATCGGTAAAGGAATTGTTGAGTATAACATTACAACGAAAAGTGTCATTGACTTTTATATATACATATAGATAAAAGTATTTTTTTTTATAGACTGGTTCAATATTTGTCAAAAACGATTGATTTAGCTTTTCCGTCCGTTCAGGTACCGCAGCTTCTTCTTAACCCGTAACACCAGAAGAGTTACGAGCGCCTTGATAGGAAAATTTAGGAATTGAGTAGGGATGGGGTAACGGAAAGGTTGAGCCTCACTTACAAGCTTACAAGATGAAACACGACGTTTCACATTTTTCTGTGATGTTCTGCGAGCCAGACCATTGTGCCGCTTAGCCGCAGTATGACTCTCCAACACTATAATTGTGGTTATTCTTTATTATTTTTGTTAATTTGAACTAAGTAATACGGAAATGTAATCCAAAATCTAAAAGTAATGACTTTGGTGATTTTTTTTATTTTTTCGCCTTGAGATGCTAAGCACGTTTTTATCTGTTAAGTGTATTTGCTATTTCTATCTTGTAGGGGTTTCACCAGAATAAGAGAGTAGATAGCCTAAACGCACTGCACCGAATTATCAGCACTCCAAATAAATTCTCACTTACTTATTTAATTTACCACACCGAGGAATTCTGTTAGTAGCGACACCATTTTGAGACTTTAAAATGGCGGGAATTGTGTAAAGAAACATTTATTTGTGGCCTGCAGCTTCTTCTGATTTTAACCGTGCGTAACTTCACGTCTTTAAATTTTATAATAATAATAATTTAATATATTATATGATATAATAATTTTAACTATGGCGATATATTTAACAATGCTATTCCTAACAATGCTGATAATTGACTCGCTCTTTGCCAAGTGAATGGTGCCAGTAAATGGTGAGTCGAAGCTTAAAAATATTATCAAGTACAAAGTAACCATCAAACAAAAAATGTTGTATTGAGAAGGCTAAGCGATCAACAGAACTTGAAATTTACTAATTAAAAAAATGCAAAGTTATGAAAGTATAATAGTACTAGCTTCCGCCCGTGGCTTCGCCCGTATGGTATGTTGATAAAAAGAAGCTTTTGTCCTATTCCGGAGTGCATTCTATGCTTGTGCCAAATTTTAATTGGCAATTTGAAACTTTTTGAGGATTTCTTTGCAAAATTACATTTGCTGCCGCCTCGCCTCGCGAAAAACATTTATTTCAAAGTTGAACTAGATACTATTCAGAACACTTCGAGTTCAACGCCTTTTTCCCAACTGAATAATGACTGGACTATAACAACAGGCTGATGATAACTTTACCTAGTTAGTTTTTACATGCAGTATAAGTTAGTATTTAAAATACTTTGATTACTTACAGGTGTTGCCTACATATACGTATTTGTGCCAGAAACAAAAGATTTAACGTTACAGGAAATTGAAGATTATTATAACAAACGAATTCCAGCATTAGTTTCTCAGAGAAGACTACAAACCCTTCAGGATATTGGAGCTCGAAGAAACAAAACAGAAATTAACGTCGTTGAAAGAAAATCTATTTAGACGTGCAAACAAGTTTAAAGGACATATTCTCATATTCTTTACCAATCTGAGATATAAAACGTTAACAGGTCCGATAGTAAAGATACGAGTACAACTAAGGTCTCGTTTACGTACACGCGGGGCGTTGCGCGGCGCGTGTTTCGTTTGTCGTACATTACAGCATCAAGTCGTATCAACGGCCGTGCAAACACAAACATATGAACATCACGAGCACACCGGGGAATTCTGTTATTGGCGACACCATTTTGAGACTTTAAAATGGCGGGAATTGTGTAAACAAACATTTATTTGTGGCCTGCAGCTTCTTCTGATTTTAACCGTGCGTAACTTCATGTCTTTAAATGTTATAATAATAATAATTTAATATATTATATGATATATAATTTTAACTATGGCGATATATATTTAACAATGCTATTCCTAACAGTGAAAGTTGTGTGCTGATAATTGACTCGCTCTTTGCCAAGGGAATGGTGCCAGTAAATGGTGAGTCGAAGCTTAAAAATACTATCAAGTACAAAGTAACATCAAACAAAAATGTTGTATTGAGAAGGCTAAGCGATCAACAGAACTTGAAATTGACTAAATAAAAAAGCAAAGTTATGAAAGCATAGTAGTACTAGCTTCCGCCCGTGGCTTCGCCCGTATGGTATGTTGATAAAAAGAAGCTTTTGTCCTATTCCGGAGTGCATTCTATGCTTGTGCCAAATTTTATCCAGATCCGTCCAGCCGTTTTGGTGTGATTGAATAACAACCATCCAAACATTAAGTAAAAAGGCAATTTGTAAGCGAAAAATAGACAAATGAAAGCAAAGGAAAATCTTTAAATTGGATAATAGTTATTAATTCTACATTTACACGGCGAATTTAAAAGTCCTGCGATGTAACTTGATGTTGCTAGTTTTAAAGAGGATGTTATTTAGATAATAAAATTGCACTTGCTTAAAACTTGCCAAAATATTTTTTTTATAATTGATGGTTGTTTAGGTATTTGGCTGCTATCGTGTTTCAAACTTTTAACGAAAAACATTCTTGGAAACTAACAACAAGTGGAATACAATCGAGTTTTGCACCAAAAAGCAAGCAAATATTTTGTGTTAGATAAGGGTGTGGAACCGGACCCGGGTACGTCCTAAAACTGCGACCAGACACCGAGGAATGGGGAGCAGCATTCTTTAAAAATTATCGGTGACCTAACTGCGCTCGCCAACCCGCCTGCCAAGCGTGATGAGTATTGGCAAATCCCCCATATGAACTGCTCAGATAAAACCAGGCCCCCAGTCTCCGGCAGTCCCGCCGTTCCTGGCTACCGTGGTAGCGGTCAGGGTAACGGCGGGACACGGGGTGCTAAGAATCCCCGGAGGTGGAGAAAAGGCTACCACCCCCGACGACGACTGGCCCTGGTAACACACAATGTTCGCACTTTGAGGACAGACGAGAAGATTATTGAGCTGGAAGAGGCATTGGGTAGGTTGCACTGGAGTATTGTGGGGTTGTCAGAAGTCCGACGAGAGGGCGAGGACACGATAACCCTAAGATCCGGCAACCTATTCTACTACCGGGAGGGCGAACAACTGTCCCAAGGTGGTGTCGGGTTCCTCGTCCACAGGTCCCTCGTCAACAACATTCTTACCATCGAAAGTGTGTCGAGCAGGGTGGCGTACCTGATACTCAGGGTATCCAATAGATACTCGTTGAAGGTTATCCAGGTTTATGCACCGACCTCGACACACCCAGACGAGGAAGTAGAGGTTATGTATGAGGACATAAGTAGGGCCATACATACTAATAAAACCTACTTCAATGTTGTTATGGGGGACTTCAACGCGAAACTGGGAACTCGAGGCGATAACGAGCTGAGAGTGGTGCAATTCGGGTATGGGCAACGGAACCACAGGGGACAGAGACTGGCTGAGTTCCTGGAGAAGGAGGACCTCTTTGCGATGAACTCCTTTTTCCAGAAGCCGTCTCACAGGAAATGGACCTGGATGAGCCCGGACGGTTCCACAAAAAATGAGATCGACTTCATCATGACAACAAAGCGACAGATGTTCAATGATGTCTCTGTGATCCATAAAGTAAAAACCGGCAGCGATCACCGACTGGTCAGAGGCACATTGAATATCAATTATAAAGCTGGAAAGATCCCGTCTGATGAAGTCTACGCTCCGACCTTCAAATGCACATATCGGTTGTCCCGAGAGCTTTCAGATCGAGCTATCGAATCGTTTTGAGTCCCTGGAGAATTGCAAGTCAGTGGACGAGATTAGCAACAGGTTTGTAGAAACTGTCCATGCGGTCGGGTCGAAGTTTTTTAGACCCCGCCGAAAAGACAGACCGCAGAAGCTTACCGATCGCACCCTCAAACTCATGGCAGAACGACGTGCTATGGTACTCCAGACCTCTGCCGATGCTAAAGCACATCGGCAGCTCAATAGACAAATATGGAAGTCCATGCGACACGATATCCGCAACTTTAACGCCAATAGGGTTAAAGAAGCGATAGAGCGGAACCAAGGCTCCAAAGTGTTTGCTAGGGACATGTCTATTGGGCAAACACAGCTAACGAAGCTGTAGGCGGAGGATGGCAGTGTGGCGTCGACGAAGGCCGAAGTTTTGGGTGAGATCGAGAGGTTTTATGGACAGCTATACACATCGGTCACTAAAACTGTTAGCTCAGTCGCCGATCCAAGAGCTAAACTCACCCGACACTATACCGAGGATATCCCGGACATCAGCCTATACGAGATTAGGATGGCCCTCAAGCAGCTCAAGAACAACAAGGCGCCGGGCGAGGACGGAATCACATCAGAGCTTCTGAAAGCGGGCGGAACGCCGGTACTGAGAGTCCTTCAGAAGCTCTTCAACTCCGTCATATTCGAAGGAGCAACGCCGGCGGCATGGAGCAGAAGTGTCGTGGTACTATTCTTCAAGAAGGGAGATAATACTCTACTGAAAAATTATGGACCCATCTCACTTCTGAGCCATGTCTACAAGCTATTCTAGAGGGTCATCACTAGAGATGCACCGAATATTCGGTTTCTATCCGGTATCCGGCTTATCCGGCCCTTTTTTACTATCCGGCCGGATACCGGATGGTAATGTACTATCAGGCCGGATACCGGATAGTAAACTTGATAGATTTTATAAATAGAATCTAAATAAAGACACAGTTGTAATTGAAGCTTTCTATTATTTTAAACAGCTTTAACTTTTTATAATAAACCAATTATTTAAAGTAACTTGGTGATAATACTGATAGTTAAAAAATGTACTTATTTGTAACTAGTAAGTAATAATAATATTAATTAATTTAATATTGGAAATCCACCAAAGGTAAATTATGATGTATAAAAACAAGATTTTCAGCATTTTTAGGAAGCAAACGATTCCTCTTGTTTTCATATACAAGCCCAGCCTCTGAAAACAGTCTCTCGCTGTACACACTGCTACATGGGGAAGAGAGATATATTTGGGCAAATTTAACCAAAATCGGGAATTGTTTGGCGTTTGCTGCCCACCATGCGTAAGGGTCACTTTTTCGATCAAGAGGAACCATTTTTAAGTAAAAGTCAAGCTCATTGGCTATAGCAGTATTATCAGAGTCTTCAGTTTGATTGTTATCTTTGACAACTTCATTAAAACAGTCCCAAAATGAATCATGAACACTCATGGAACTGCCTGCTCTTTTCTTCAATGGAGGTGAATCGCCTCCACTGCTGGATGCATCCTCTTCACCGCAACTCAGTTTTAGACCCTCCAATAAGAGGCTTTGGCGAGCCTTTTCTGCTTGTATTACCCCAAAAAAATTAGTCTTGAACCTGGGATCCAATAACGTAGCCAGGAAATACTTTAAATTTTCATCAAGATGTTCGAAGCGTTGTTGCAATTGAGTTTTTAGGGACGTTAGAAATTGCAATAAGTTAGGGACTTTGCGTGAAGTTTCTTCCTTTTGAATGTACCTCATCAAAACTGCTACATGTGGTATAACTTCTGAAATGCACGACAGACCTGAGCTCGTGATCTTCGTTATTTCCTCGAACGGTTTGAGGAGAATGATGCATTGCTCCATTAAATTCCATTGCTGAGGAGTCAAGTTGCCGAGTTTATTGTGGTCGGCAATATACAGAGAAACAGCTCGTCTCTGTTCTAGCAGCCGCTCTTGTAAATAGTACGTCGAGTTCCAACGTGTACTGATATCTTGTACCAACCGATGTTCCGGTAACTTTAACTCTTTTTGAATTGCCTTCAGTTTCTCTTGTGCTAATGCTGAATGATTAAAATGAGTTACGATGCGTCTTGCGGCATTCAGCATCTCTACTAAATCAGGTTGAGTTTTAAGTGATTCAGTAATGACCCGCTGGAGAGAGTGAATAAAACACCTAGCTGAATCGTATTCAGCCACTTGAACTCCTTTTACCATATTAGCCCCACTATCGTGTACAATAATATGTATTTTATTGAACGGAATATTCCACCGTGCAGCAATAATGTTAAGCTCGTTTGCTATGTTCTCTCCGGTGTGAGACCCTGAAAAGGGCTTCATTGCCAAAACGCCATGTTCCAGTTTGAAATCTGGGGATATCCAATGGGCGGTGAAGCTCAGAAAACTTTCATTATTGTGGTCACAAGTCCATATATCTGACGTAATGGAAACAGCTGCAGCGTTTAAAATTTTTTCCATAATTTTCTTGATAATTCGATCGTATATGTCCGGTATTATTTTTTCAGTCATATAAGTGCGACTGGGCAACTTGTACCTCGGTACCGCTTTTTGCATGAGCCTATTAAATCCAACTCGGTCAACAATGGATAGTGGTTCGTTATCCAACGCGATCATTTCGCCAATCAAATAGTGAAATTCCTGTGATTTCGAATCATTTATCCCCCAATATTGTTTTCGCTCAACAGTTTCAGCTAAAGTCAATTGCTTTTGCAAGGACGGTTGAGAAGCCGTGGTACAAGTACTTGCAGTTGAGCTCGTAGAAATAGCAGGTACAACACATGAGGACGAACCACCATAAATTTCACTAAACTTATCAGGATGCTTGGCTTTCAAGTGGTTTTTCATGCACGAGGTTCCAGCTTTTTTTCCCTCTCCGCCACGTGAAACTTTTAGTTTGCAGATTAAACAAATAGCGTATTTAGCTTCTTCTTTGTCTATCTCAAAATAATTCCAAAGCGGAGATCTTGTTGCCATTTTTTATAAACACACTAATGACACAGTAGGTAAATGTTAATTAATACAAAACCACTAAGTATCACACGATAACACCACAAACTTATTTTATTATCTAAAAATACGCGAGCGTACAAACGAAATTGTTTCGTGCTGACTGACACGATAAAAGTGTCTCTACCAAGAACTGTGACCGCGCGAACGTTCACTACGAAACAAGTCAAAACCTGCACGGCGCGGGCGGCGTGCCGGTGCGCGACACGCACCTACGAAACTCAAAATGCCGCCGGCCGAATATTCGGCGGCCGGATACCGAACATTCGGCTGGTGGTCAGGCCGAACATCCGGTATCCGGTATCTGGCCAAACAACTATTCGTTGCATCTCTAGTCATCACAAATCGTCTCACACGTAGGTTCGATGACTTCCAGCCTCCCGAACAAGCCGGTTTCCGGAAAGGCTATAGTACCATAGACCACATCCATACGCTGCGGCAAGTTATACAGAAGACCGAGGAGTATATATAACTTGCCACTATGCTTGGCGTTTGTGGACTATGAGAAGGCTTTTGGCTTTGAGACTTGGGCTGTGTTAAGATCTCTCCAGCGGTGCCATATTGACTTTCGGTACATCGAGGTTTTGAAGTGCTTATACACAAACGCCACTATGTCGGTCCAAGTACAAAACCAGAGCACGAAGAATATTCCTCTGCAGCGAGGTGTAAGGCAAGGAGACGTCATATCTCCGAAACTGTTTACCGCTGCATTGGAAGACGCTTTCAAGCTCTTGGAATGGAAAGGATCTGGCATCAACATCAACGGCGAGTACATCACTCACCTCCGGTTTGCCGACGACATTGTAGTCATGGCAGAATCGCTGGAGGATCTGAGCACAATGCTCGATGACCTCTGTAGAGTTTCTCAACAGGTAGGGCTCCGAATGAACATGGACAAGACGAAAGTCATGGCAAACGCCCATGTCACGCCCTATCCGATATCAGTTGGGAGTTCTAAACCTCGAAATTGTTGACGAATATGTATACCTGGGACAAGTGATCCAGCTAGGTAGGTCCAATTTCGAGAAGGAGGTCAATCGTCGAATCCAACTTGGATGGGCAGCGTTCGGGAAACTACGCAACATCTTCTCGTCCAACTTACCTCAGTGCCTTAAGACGAAAGTCTATAATCAATGCGTGTTACCAGCGATGACCTATGGAACTGAAACGTGGTCTCTTACTGTGGGCCTTATAAAGAAGCTCAAGGTCGCTCAGCGCGCTATGGAGAGGGCTATGCTCGGAGTTTCTTTGCGAGACCGCATAAAAAACGAGGATGTCCGCAAACGAACAAAGGTTTCCGACATAGCCCAGCGGATTAGTAAGTTGAAGTGGCAATGGGCAGGGCACATAGCGCGTAGAACCAACGGCCGCTGGGGCAGAAAGGTTCTCGAGTGGAGGCCACGTACCGGCAAGCGCAGCGTAGGACGTCCACCCGCAAGGTGGACAGACGACCTGATTAAGGTCGCAGGAAGCCGCTGGATGCAGGTCGCTTCCAACCGGCCTATCTGGAAGTCAATGGGGGAGGCCTATGTTCAGCAGTGGAAGTCCTGTGGCTGATATGATGAAGGGTGTGGAAGATTAAATAAAAAACAAGCAAAGTAAATTTGTAAGTTTTTTTACATATTTTTATTTTTTAATCTGAAAACATTATTTTATTTATATTTCTAGGATTATTTTCCTTAAGTTACGTCCGTTAGTCCAAACGATACATACGTAAAGGTGAGTAAAATATTTTACTTATTCATGGAACGTTAGCGACAGCTTTAAGAACATTCTCGAAAATATCGATTCCCTTTTTGAAGACGTCTATATGTATTCTTTCATTGTGTGCATGTAATAACATGGGAGTGTCCATAATTGGGGAGAAGTTGATGGCTGGAATACCCTGTCGACGAATGTGACGCGCGTCCGTTGCTCCGGGGCATATCAGACATTTTATTGTATATCCCCTGAAACAGGCAAATTAATAAAATTATGTACCGTGTCTTCGTTTGTTTCATTAATATACTAGCTTTTGCTCGCGACTCCGTTCGCGTGAAATAGTGACTTCCTGCAGATTTTAAAAACAAGAAAAGTCGTATGTCCTTTTTCGAGTTCCAAACTATGTCTGTACTCTGTACCAAATACCACAGAAATCGGTTCAGTAGTTTAGGCGTGAAGAAAAGACTGAGCAACTGACAAGACAGACAGAGTTACTTTCGCATTTCTAATATTAGTTTAGATTCTACTATATTGTCAACATTTTTAAAATAAATTCGCATTTCCGCAAGGTGACATTAATTGTTCCGCGATTCGATATTCACGCACGGCAACACATTACAAGTAACATGATCTGCGATTGTCAACACGAATGATCTACGCGTCTCTCGACAGACGTCGAATGGGCTTTGACTAGTGAGGACGTGGACGACAGAGATCACGAACAGCTAATTTGAACATGAACATGGAAATATCGAGCGAAATCGTCCCACAAAATTACAATCACACCACGACAATGTTGGAGAAAATGATTCCGAATGCAAATGCAGTTTAATAAGATAATTTTTTCGTTCACAAAATGGCCCTAATGTAGTGAGAGGGTTTAGCTTCTGTTGGCTTAACAAAGAAGCTAAGGCTCAGTGGGGCTGGTGTTATTGCGGATCAACCACAGCAACATTAGGAGACGTGGCGTGCTAATGATTAAAAAAAAACTCAATTGACTCAATAGGACCTCAGTATAAATTAGGCATGGATAAGGCGCTACAAGCCTTATCCTATCTAAATTCTTATATCTTTACACAGAGTAGAAGAATATGCTACTTACATGTCAGCGACGACGTTTTTCAAAACATCCCAGAAAGGGACGCTGCCGTCTATTTTTGTGTTTTTAACTTGTGGGTTCTTGACTACGTATTCGAAGGTGACTCCATCGCCTGCTTCTCTGCACCATCTTAATATCTATAACGAAAATTTTGTTTGTCAGTTATGATTAATAGAGAAAACTGGTCTTTTACTTACAAAAATAACGAAACCCCGAGAAAGGTGTTGAAAAAAAGCCAAAATATTTGGCTCCGTCAATTTTATTCAGGTAGTATTTAAAATTTTATGAATTTCAGAATGTAGGTTAGATACGCGGGTTTGCGATGGGGCAAGCGCAATAACGTACTGAGGCCTCGGACTGGAGCAGGAGAAGGAACAGAGGAGTTATAAGTTAAGAAGTCTGACACTCCCTTTCTCCATACAGTAGAAGACATATGATGAATTGATGGTGTTTCCTCCTCAAAAATAATAGTAATAATCAAATTACTATTATATTTAATAATCAAATTAGATTGGGAATATAGTTACCAATATCCTAAATGTAATGTCCCTACATATGTAAATAAGTAAATATTCCTTAAACCTAGATCTAACAATCTTGATGTAAACTAGTAGTAGCATTAATTACAAACTTCAGTAGTTTATGAATGCTATGTATACCTATTCATGTTTTTTGTTTTTTAAATGGTAATAAAAAAAAAAAAAAAAAAAAAAATACGACCATATAACGGAGCGATCTAGAAGTCACTGGCAAACAAAGTCTGAGTTAAGGACTAATAAACATCAGCTTATAGCGTGCATAGTGCTGATAACGAATAATTTTTAAGGACTAAACATCTTGTAGTGAGCACGCTGATGAGACTTTATCGGATCTAAAGGTATCGCCGCCTACTTACCATGTCATCAAACTCATCATGATCAACGTCAGGAGCTATTCTTATATCGAATGATACTGATAGGTTTTCAGGGAGCACATTTATCTGGACTCCACCCTGGAATAGAGAATAGTACATTTTAGAGAGACATAAACTCAAGTTTTGCGTTTAATATTACTCTTTTTTTTGAACCGAAGATAATTCTCGGGGAGACATCGTGTCTTGGAAAAACAATGGGAATCTTACTAAAAGCCAAGTTGGTGCCCCGATGTCCCATATCATACGTATTATGAGTAAGCACTACAGTACAAGAACTATGTTGCAAACTCCAACAAAATTTGCTTATAGAAGAGAAATTATGGTGTTCTTTATTATCTGCTTCAAAACCATGTAGGCTATCAGGTTAAGGAGTCAATTATTCAAGTCTTCTTATTCTAAAATTTGTTTGCAGCCACAATATAAAGTAAAATAGATAAGAAATTTTTTTATAAGATAGGATAGGAAGCCGATCACCTGATGATAAGCAATCGTTGCTGTTCATGCATATTTACAATAACAGAGGAGTTAAAAGTACGTTCTGGCCTTTTGGAGCTTAGGTATATGATAACTCAGGGATCTGGGGTTTGGGATGGGGGATTAGGGGATTGGACCCCAGTAACATTACTTATGCGGTAAAACACAACGCAGCGTTTGGTCCCGCGAGTTTTCTGTGAGGCTTTGGTATCATTTCGGACGAGTCAGTCCAATCGTGCAAAAATATGGCTCTCTCAATCTTACCGATAATTGTGTCAAGTTGATCGTAGTAATGTCTCCGACCCAGGTGCCGCTGTCTGCCTTCCTCTTTTCTTCAGCACGAAGCGTCATGAACTTGTCTATAATGTAATGCAACTGCAAGAATAGAACAATGCAGTTAGCACTAGAAATCCTTCGAAGGAAAATAGAACACAATATTAACATGTTAAAACCTACCCCAAACATAACTACAAGCACTCACCAACTAAATACTACTTTTTGAGAATATCTACTTACATTTTACATTTCTTCCCTACAGCAAAAGGCCGTTAAGCTGTTCCTCTTACTGAACGTAACAATAGAACGACTGTCAAACTTTTCTTATTTGTTGGGATATCCTCACTGACATGTCCCTTTAGCCAGCTCATAAAACATTTCTAATCTCCTTACCGCATTCATTTTTCACATACACATACAAGTGTAAACTCCCGGAATATCACAATCTACTGACCTTTTCACCAGCAGTGTTAGAGCTGAGCAAAGAACCATGTCCGGGGTCACCACGACATGTCACAACGATCTCTGTAAAACAATGGATTGTGGGAAACATTGTCATCAATCAACAAAATGGGGTCTTCGATTGTATAAATATATGTAGATAAAAAAACGTAGCTAATGTGAGTATTTCAGGAGAATATCCTAGCGTGGGTCAACGTTTTATTAGAAAAAAAAACCATGAAAGTAAATAAGTTCTGATGTATGAAAGATTTTTTGCTTGGGTTTCCTAGTAATTTCGCTGCGAAAGGAGAAATGTGATGTAACTATGGATAGAAATTTAATAACGTTGAAAAGCTTGTGTGTGCTCTTCCTTTTAACGAAATCTGGTAAACGAAAATGTGGTTTTAATTTATTTGAAAGTGTGTAAATTACTTTCTTTTGACCACCTTCTTATATGCAGTTAACCTCTTGTCTGCCGGTATATGAGACACAATAGAAAACACATTATGTCTCGCGTATATCCGCGCTCCGGCATATAAGGGGTTAAGGGAGTATTATTGCGAATTGAAAATATTTTGTGTTTGTTAGTCCATTTATCGAAAAAGGCTATAAAACATCACGCTAAGATATGTAGGAGCCGAGCAGTAGGTGAAACCACACATATTATCTATCAACTTATTAGGTTACACAAACTAGATGAGAATCTTATGTAAAACGTAGATTTTTATTTGCTTCTTTTCTCACATAAACGTGACAATTAGTTGAGGTGATGTTACAAAACTTATCATACAAAAGAGCCAAGTTTCACAAACAGGAACTCAATCTAGGGTTTATGTGGTTACTTCATAGATACTATCTAAAGTAATTATGTATTTCATTCACACACTTGGGCCAGTATATTGTCAGACAGAGCAGAAACACTGATTGGTATCTAAGCAAAGAAGTAAGGCGACAATATTGTGTAAAAAACTTCATTAAAATGTTGAAATGTTTGCTCAAAAAGGCTCAAAAATGGCAGAATTAGTCTAGATTTAGAGATATTATTTCTGAAAAAACAACCCCGTTTTCTGGTAGACGGTTTGAGTCAAAATTTTGCGTGTTAGATTAGTCTATGAACTGTCATTATTAAAGTTTATTTATTGTGGCTACTTCAAATAATTTTAAATAACGCCTGGATCAATTTAACTATAGTCAGACTTTTAATTCGATTCCTGATTTGACATTGACCACTGTCATTTTGTGAAATAATGATACCTACCACATATAACAGTGTAGTGATGAACACAAAAATCGATAAACAATCAGTGAATCAGTTTCAGGACGGCATTCAAAAAATTACGGCTACCGAATGGTCTAAATGTGTATCCCATGTTTTCAAAGAAGAGGAAAAAATTAGTAAGCTAGATATGTTAATTGACAATAAATATCAAAGACACAATTCATAATAAATGTTACATAGAGTAACGGCAATAGCGATAGCGATGACGGCGACAATTTATAAAATGTCTGTTTTATTTGTCACGTTCCTTCATGATCACATTTTTTATTAATTTCACACACAATTACAAAAGATAAGTCTCAGATCGTTAATTAATTGTCAAAACTAAATTATCGGTTCAGAAATATTTTATTTCCTGATAAACTTAGTTTACGAGAGTAAATTTATAAACGAGAGGAATCGATTCAGAAATATTCGATTTCCATATCGAATAATTTCGCAACGTCACTATTTATTACGTGTCATAACGTTGCAACACTGAAATTGTCAAATCTGGAATGGAATTAAAATTCCGAGTATAGTGTTTTCTCCTGAGTCGTAGCTGCGTTTACAAACATACAATTTCACATAAACGTCACACCCAGTTCCGGAACAACAATTTGTGGATCACACAAAGAGTTCCATGCGGGAATGCAACCCGCGACACGTTGTGTGGTAGCCAGTTGTTTTGTAAGGAGAAGGTGCTTATTCAAGAACATTTTAGAAAAGTAGAAGATGGTAAAAAAGGTGCACAACTTAAGGCTTAAGGCCTATTTCCAAAAATAAATTCATTGTTTCAGAGAGGACATTTGGAAATTACCAGTTAGCGAGGTATTTGAAAACCCGTGCGAAGCAGAGGCGCGCCGCTTGTAACAAGTAAATTCAAACAACTCCTAGCTCTATCTTATCAGAAAAGTACAGATAAAACAGTTGATTATTAGGTAAATAAAAACTTACGCCTTGAAGTCCTTTCCCCATAAAACGCCATGATTTCCGTCGGATGCAAGTTGGGTGCGCTCTCGTCTAAGGCGAAGCCAATGTTCAGGTTTTTAAACTCTGGAGATTCTGAGAAGACCCGCATGCCGTCCACACTACCTGTTTCCTCATCTGCAGAAAAATAAGTATATTTTCACTCAAATATCGATAAGTATACTAACATACCAGGCAAGACTATAATCATAAATCGGTAGAAGTTTTTAGTTGACAGACATGACGATATGTATATTATATGTATCATCATATTGATTAGTTGTAGTTAAAAAAGCCTGGGAGGAGTACAGGTGGAACTAAATACGCCAGAAAACAGAAAGCCAGCGCGCTACGCTCCAGGGGTACAATGAACCAATAGATCCCGTATTTGCTCATTGAACCACTTGGTGGGTGGCGGTTGAGAGGGCCCAATGCCAGGCTTGCACATGCAAGCGTAATGGTGTAACCAGATGATCCAGCCTGGTGCAGAAGAAGGAATAGGGTGGTTTTTAGTCGGTAAGAATCAAAATATCCCTCTCGCCTCACCCAGGGCGGGAGAAGTCATCATCATCATCATCAGCCTATTAGTGCCTACTGCTGAGCAAAGGCCTCTTCTCACACGGAGAAGGTTTGAGCATTAATCACCACGCTTGCTTGGCGATTTCAAACTTATAATTAGAAATTAGAAATCCAGGTTTCCGCACGATGTTTACCTTCACCGTATGTCAGTGGTGTCTAAATAATCATCGAAAGTACATATAACTTGGAAAAAGTCACATTGTTACTTGTCAGGTTTCGAACCCAATAATCAAATAAACCGAAAATAATCCAAATAACAAAAAAAAATTTTTTTGGGCAAACACAAACTCCTGCTTTTTCTGCTCCTAAGGATACTTACTGGCCGTCTTTTCCAAAAAGTTCCTATATAAATTATTTTTTAAAATTTTCTAACCTGGTACAAAAGACAAATGAACAGTTCTCATCAACTTGACTCCAGCATTTTTCAGTCTCCTGACTGCTTCTAAGTGCATCATGGCTATACCCTTCATGTCCAGGGTACCTCGTCCGTAGATAAAGCCATCTTCTGACACAACAGCATCGAATGGAGGGTAGGTCCAATGTTCCTAAAAAGTTTTATTTTATTTTCCACTGACTCTGTGTTATGTTCGCATTAGGGATTTGAAGTGATGCGAGACATATTTCTTTATCGATTGAGATTAATATGTTACCAACCACAATTAAAACATTTTAGAGTTTGGAGAAAGAAGTTCTTAAATTATAAAGAAGTAACTAACGACCTGCCCCGGCTTTGCGCGGGTGCAATGCTGAAACTAAATTACTCAACTATTTAATAGATGTTAATATACATATAAGAAACCATCCTCTTCAATCGTTATATCTATTAATTACAGAAAACGCGTCAAAACCTGTTGCACAGTTTTACAGATTTAAGCATACATAGGGACAGAGAAAGCGACTTTTATTACACAGAATAAAATCAGTTGTTCACGAATCCCTAAAAATACCATGAAACCCCGTTTTCATAGGGAAATCCAAGCTAGATTTTTTCCTGTAGTATTTGTAACGAACACATTCTACTCTACGTAGTTGGCTGCGTTTGCTGCGTTCACTGAGTCAGGTGTCACGCAATACTGCTCGCGAATATGAGCTCTTAATGTGGCTTGAAACAAGTCGAGTTCCTCGTTTTTAAACATTTACGTAAGCCTCTAAACTTAGTAATTAAATAAACAAGGCGGTTTTACTTATTTTATTAAAAACAGTGCTCATGGCAACTCAGAAACAGTATAATTTTACGTAGGTAAATACTTATATCTAAATAAATTAATAAGTCATAAAACTATTAATTTTAATACATCCTATTGAAGGTCGTGTGTACTGTGTTATCAATGTGGTTTATGAGGTAGCAATATTTGGATTATTTTGTCTCGATAAACGTGTCTGCCTTATCAAAAATCTCTATACATAATATGTATGCTTACATAAAGATATGTAGGTACTTGTTTTTTTCCAACGTCCCTTTAAATTAGTTACTACATTTTTTTTGTGAAACAACCCCGCCGCGTTGTGTTTTGCCGTGTGAGTGAAGTTATCGGTGGCCTCATTCTCTTGCTAACCACATCTCGAAATCCCTAATCCTCAAATCCCTATAGGCCAGCAACGCTCACTCTCAGTGCTAACACCTCCGGTGTTGCAGCCCTATCAAATCAAACTTCTAGTTTCAGGAATTACCTATAAGCTTGTTTAGCAAATACTTTTGCTTTAGCAATACTTATGTAAGGACCACAACTGTATCAATTTCTACTTTTTTTTTAAGTTTTCGTTGTAGTTGTGACTGAGACTGTTACGCGAGCTATCTATCAAGCGTTCAGGTGAGCGTCCAACTGTTGCTTTGATTTTGAATTTCTTTCTATTGCTTGAAACTTATTGAATACCTTTAATAATTCTTTTTTTTTTATGTAATATATCGGCAAACGAGCAGACGGATTACCTGATGGTAAGCAATCAGCGCCGCCCATGGACACCCGCAACGGAGGAGTTACGAGTGCGTTGCCGACCTTTTAGGAATTAGGGATTTGGAGATTAAGCGATTGAGGAGGGATTGAGGGAGGGGAAGGATTGGGTCTCCGGTAACCTCACTCACACAGCGAAACACAACGCTGTGGTTGTTTCACGCCGGTTTTGTGTGAGGCCGTGGGTGGTATCACTCCGGTCGAGCTGACCCATTCGTGCCCAAGCATGGCTTTCCCACACTTAAAATTCTACGTAAAAACTTACTTCATAAACAGGAACAACATCCATATGCGAGTTGAGAAGGATGGATGGTAGCTCCGGTTGTGCCCCCTCCCATGTTATCACCACCACCGGCTTTTTCGGTACAAACTCGTACACAGCCACCGGCAAATCCAAATCATGCGCTTGTTTCTTTAGAAACTCTACACAATCGCCTTAAAAATAATGTTAAGGATTTTATAAAAAACAAAACGATATAATTGAAAAACGAATTGCGTAAATTAGTTGTCAGCGTATAAAAAATAAGGCAATTATACTCAAAATAAACGATTTAAAACATTATCTACGGAGCTCCGACTCCGTGTATCCGATTAAAAAATAAAATGGAATTACTGATAATTTAAAATAATAACACACAAAACAAATTTTGTTAATGTGTAAGTAGGTAATGTAAATTATATTTTCGTAAAATAAAATTAAATTGAAAAATAGAACGCATAATTGTTATCGTACATTCATAAAAGGAAGGAAAACAAACTTCTAACGTCGAATGCGAATTAACAGTCTATCATTATAAATAGTTTATTTTGTAGACCTTTATTTTTATAAATATATTCTCTTACCATAATCAATGTCAGGATGGACGCTAGGAATCCTTATATATTCTCTAAATCTCTGGATAACCTCATCATTATCCCATTTCGAACACATTTTCCGCGTTTATTATATTTTTTTCTTTTTCAAACTTAGAACGCGCGATATTCGTTCTCTATGCCAAACGACACTAAGCAAGTTTGTATTATGTTTTATGTTATCTATGAATAATTTGTCTCCCGCCTAGTTTGATTAGCACTTAGTACTTTATCTCGACAGTCTGTTGCGAGTTTGAATTTAGATATCATTGAAGATGAGATTTATCATATTTGTTATTTAGTTAGTTAGGTATAGTAAACGTTCGATATACTATACACACGTTTACTCAGACAGTTTAGTTCGTAGTGTGCAATATTGTGACTCCTTTTTTTTTACTATATTATAATTTTTTCTCAAATTAAATAGTTCTATACAGAGCACAGGTATTATTAATCTAGATTGCATAAAATATGACATTTATTTAAATTGCCAAATGATCGTGAGATAAAAATTTTGGCATTTCTTTGAACTTGAACGACGCTGATCACAAACTTCAAACTACCAAGCGCGACGCCTGCTTTTTGCTTCCAACGTATATCAGAAAGCAACTTATCTCAAAATCCAGCCGTAAAATAATAAAGATTATTTGAACACACTTCTGAATAAAATAATACTTAGGTACGAGATACAAATACAAAATTATCAAAAGAGAAAACGAGACAAGTTGTAGAAAATGTTTCGTAATGGCGGGAAAAATTGATCAATTTCATAAGCGGTAAGCGCGCGCATCAGCCATAGACTAAAAAATGTGGTTACTTTTTTGGGCTTTTCGCGGATAGTATTTTAGCGCAAGTGTAGGTAAGCGTTACTCAACCAATAATAAAAAAAACTCTACTACTCACTAGTGAATAATAGTAATGAAAAAGTCACAGTTTGATATACTTACTTTGTACTATAGGTAGATGCAAAGACTACAATATCATATATAGGGGTAGGTGTCATTATGTGCCTAATTGCCATTTTATGAGGAACTGTGTTGAAAAGATTAAAATAGGCAAGTATTTCACCTGTAAAATAATAAGAAAAAGATAAAGGGTTTTTTCACATTTCTTTCACTTTATTTATCTTCCAATATAGGGTAGGGTTCATTACGGTTTTCTGTGGAATACCTAGTAAAATCATTAGGTCGTATCTATCTACATAATTACAGTAGGTACCTACCTTACATAAATTAGTACGATTAGCAATCACGCGAGTTCATTGATCTTTAGTGCAAACCAATCTTAGTACCTAGGCTCTTGAAATGTAGGTCATTCTAGATCCAGTATTTCACATACTTATATGGAGGTACCCACAAAGTCTGCAGGTCTTGTAGGTTTTGTAGATATGATATTGATTTAAGTTTAGCAACTGCGTACCTAATTAATATATCCTAGCCGTGTTTGGGCTTGTTAGAATTGTTATAAGATGCACTTTGGCTGTAAGGTACTATTGAACTGATGTGATGATGAAGCTGGAAGGTTGGCATGGGGCCTAGTATTGTGTAAGCTTATAAGAGCTGTGAAGAGCAATGGAAAGGGCTATGCTCATAGTTTCCGTGCATGTTCGAATCAGAAATGAAGAAATCCGCAGAAGAACCAGCGTCACCGACATAGCCCGAAGAAATGCCAAACTAAAGTGACAGTGGGCACGGCACATTGCTCGTAGAACAGATGGCCGATGGGGCCGAAAGGTTCTAGAGCGGGACCGCACACCTTTGGGGGCGGAGTTTGGCCTAGTATTGGCTATTTTGCATTAGTCCACGTGGACTGCGTTTACACATTAGTGGTGAAATGCGTCATTGTGTTCTTATCGTTTTCCTGGTAATAGGCTAAGAGAATTCATTGGCATTTTTAACAAAACAGTCGTTTTAAATGGGTTACTAAACAATAATTGCGTCGTACAAAACGATAATTGTGTTTCTTTTGTGTGCACATATGTAGATAATACTTACTTAAAAAAGGTTCATACATTGAATGAGTCATAAATGTATATTTACAATAGCGATGGTCTTTTGTATTTTTACCAACTTGTCTATATATGAATGTTCTTAGTAATAACAAAATAGTATTCTTCATTTAATGGGTTACAATTGATACAAAACAATAATTGCATCGGTCTTTTTTCTATGTACGAATGTATTTAATCATAGATACTAAATTAGATTGCATTTGGTATTGTTACGTGCCTGACGTCACGTTCCTGACTATGCGGGCTTGGGTTACGGGATTGGATGAAATGAAACACTAATACCGGTTTTCAGACTTTCTATTGCGCTTAAGTTACAGCGTCCACGGAGTTAAGTTATCGGCGTTCCTCTCCAGCAGAGTCCGGCCGACTGACACAACTTTGCCGTTCACGCTAACTTCACTTAACTGACTGCACTTCACTATTTCACTCACTTTTCTTCTTTTTCACTTCTTCCTTTTCTTCCGAATCGCTTTAGACTTAGAACTCAACTGCCAGCGGTGAGCCGCAGTTCCGCTTATATACCCCCGGTCAGGTTCTAGAACATTCAATTTCGTTATTCTTTTTTGATCGTCATGCCTCCAGAACCTTCCAATAATTTCGTTATTCATTTTTATTTATTCTCCTTCTCGCTCCTTAATTTTTCATTACTTTCACTCAAATATTCCAGAAAGTTCGACAAAACTTCCATCAACTAAAAAACTTCATGTTTACGGCGGGACTCGAACTCGGGGTCTCTGTGGTGTAATCCACACGCCTTACCGATTACACCAACTCGTGTTGACAATTCACGACGAAATTTACAATCTCTAGGCAACGTTTGACAACCATCCATTGACGTCATGATGTCAAAGAGTTTTCTGTCACACTGCCCCCCTCTTAGATTCGCTCGTCCCGAGCATCGTTGCTGCCGTAATACCTCGCCAACCTGTCTATATGGACAACTTTCAAAGGGCTCCTTGAAGACTTCCGAATTCTGTAAGTAATGTCATTGATCTTCGTGACTATCTCGTAAGGACCTTCCCAACTCGGTTGCAGCTTTGGAGATTTTCCCTTCCTTCTGACTGGATTATGAAGCCAGACCAATGACCCCTCTTCAAACCCAACAGAATTGGCTCGTCGATCATAGCGCGTCTTTGCGCGATCACTAGCTTGAAGACCGGCCTCCCTGATCTGCTCATAAATGTCCAACATTTTTGCCCTTAACTCGCTTATGTAATCGCTAAACTCGGTGCGAGAGTCACCAGGTGGACAGCCCGATACAAGATCTGCCGGTAATCTCAATTCCCTTCCAAAATTTGCAAATGCAGGCGTCTTTGCGGTACTTTCATGTACAGCAGTCCGATAGGCAAGCAAGAAGAGAGGTATGTAAGTGTCCCAATCTCTCTGATGGCTGTCAACCACCTTTGCTAAGTGTCGCTCCAATGTTTGGTTGAAGCGTTCGACCATTCCATCTGACTGTGGATGATAAGGGGTCGTTCGAGTCTTATGGATTCCCAAAAGTTTACAAGTTTCCTGGAAAACTTGGGATTCAAAGTTCCGTCCTTGATCACTGTGCATCTCCAAGGGCACTCCGAATCGGGTGAATACCTCGTTTACCAACTTCGTGGCTACAGTTACTGCCTCTTGATTCGGTATGGCAAAGACCTCCGGCCATTTTGTAAAATAATCCATAACCACTAAAACGTAGCGATTGCCCGAATCAGTGATTGGAAATGGTCCAGCGATGTCTAAGGCTATTCTCTCCCAAGGCATACCAACATTGTAGATTTTCATCGCCCCTCTGCTTCTTGTTTGTGGACCCTTGACAGCTGCACAACTAGTGCATTTCCGGCACCAATCTTCGACGTCATATTTGCAATGCAACCAATAAAACCTCTCCTTGATCTTCACCAAAGTCCTCCTAATTCCCAAATGTCCTCCAGAAGATCCATCATGGAACGCTTTTAATACATCCCTTATTTTTGAACGAGGCACCACCAATTGCAAATGCTCGTCCTTGCCGTTTGTTGATTCCCATTTCCTGCACAGAAGTCCGTTATGCAGCGTAAGGCTTTTCCACTGTGCCCATAAACCTTTCGTTACCGCGCTATATTGGGCGACGTCACTCCAACTTGGCTTGTTACCACTTCGTAGCCACTCCAGTATTGGTTTGATATCTGCATCTCTTTCCTGTTCTAATTTCATCGCATCATCTCCCCATGCCTCGTCAACAGTATCAGTCCTTATCACCTTAAGAAAAGCAGTTTCCTTCTTGGCACAATGCTTGCAATCTTCCACGCATGGGCGTCTCGATAATGCATCTGCGTTGCCATGAATTCTTCCGCCGCGATGTTCGATTTCAAAGTCAAATTCCTGAAGTTGTTCCAACCATCTGGCTACTTGGCCTTCGGGATCCTTAAACTGAAGCAGCCATTTCAAAGCAGCGTGATCAGTTCTGATCAAAAATTTCCGTCCCAGTAAATACTTCTTGAAATGGTGCAGAGTTTTGACTACGGCCAGCAATTCCCTCCTGGTCACGCAATAATTCTTCTCCGGCTTGGATAGTGACTTGCTGAAGTAAGCAATAACCTTCTCCTGCTCACCATCGCGTTGTGAAAGGACACCTCCTATTCCAATATTGCTGGCATCCGTATCAACTACGAATATTCCTTTCGCGCTGGGGTATCCGAGAATTGGTGTGTTACAAAGCCGTTCTTTTAGTTCTCGAAAGGCTTGCTCACAATCCTCGTCCCAGATAAAGGCACGTTTCTCCTCTGTCAATCGATGCAAAGGCTTGGCAATGTCCGAGAATCCTTTCACAAACCGCCGATAATACGAGCACAATCCAAGAAATGCCCGAACTTGCGTTTTGTCTTTAGGTGTTGGCCATTCCTTAACAGCGGCAGTCTTGGCTGGATCAGTCTCAATTCCTCTCTCAGAAATAACATGTCCTAGATAATTCACTTCGCGCTTGAAGAAAGAGCATTTCTTTGGACTCAACTTTAAATTTGCTCCACGCAGCTTATCGAGTACCTTTTCCAATTTCCTTAGATGATCGTCAAAATCCCGTCCAACAATGATGATGTCATCGAGGTAAACTAGGCAGGTTTCGCCCAGCAGTCCCGCCAGCACCTGTTCCATCAAACGCTCAAAGGTTGCCGGTGCATTGCATAATCCAAATGGCATCACCTTAAATTGCCAGAGTCCCTTCCCAGTTGAGAATGCGGTCTTTTCCTTGTCCTTGGGATCCAA